AAGTAGCTTGCCTGTAGCATGGGGTGACAAAAGAGATTCGTCAGAGTCTGATTGACCTTTTCCTCAGCCCAGAAGTGCTTTAAGACATTCCAGGGATTGAAGCGTTCAGCTCTTGCTTCCAGGCTTTGTAGATCGCGCATGGCAAATGGGACAATGTGAGCCACTTCGATGGGATCGCCGGATTGTGTGATTACACACTTGTTGTTATCGCGTTGGCGGCACTTGTCCTTGGTTAGCCAGTAGGTTCTACTTTCTCAAAAATTCTGAAGGAACAAGCTAACAAGATCGTGTTGTATCTTATCTCTCACCTGGACCACCATCCCGGAAGTCCGTTGTCGCTTGTGAGGCCAGCCTGATGGAGTACCGGGAGAATCGGGCATCTTTGGTTGACCTGGAGAACTGGCTTGAGAGGGGACTTCAGCAGCAGCTTCTGAACTGGCTCGGCTGGCATCCTGCGTTTGTTGCTTCCCTAATGATTGTTATTAGTTACAAATATTCAGGTCCATATCCCTAGCAAGAACTTACAGTAGGACACTAGTTTGCTATCCCGGACGGCGGTCTCCAAGCCGGTTAGATAGAGGGGCCCACTGTGCCTAACACGCGTAACGATGAGCCGTAGACAGACAAGATCGGCCAAACGCAGACATGCCCAGAGTGCTCTTGAGTATGGTTGGCCTTCCACAAGGGCATCAAGGTCATTAAGCAGAGTGGTGCGTTCTGCCTTCTCGGCCTCGGTATCGTCGAACAGCATGTCCATGATTGCAGGGGCAGCTGGTTACCAGTTTGGTTTTGGATTGGCTCGGAATATGCCACAGTAGATGGTAGCCGCCGGCTGGCTGGTTGGTTTTATGGATGGATAACACGCTTGACCTTGAATTTGGAGGAGTTAGTTAAGCTTTCAGTGAGTGAGTTATTTACCAGAGTTGGTCATTCTGTAAGCAAGAGCCCCGGACCACCGCAATGTTATGTTGAAAATTCAGGGTCAATCACAATACCTTCATGAAGTATCTGAGAAATAATAGATAGAGTGCATCTACCAAGATATATATATATATAGGCTCCAGGCCATGGGGATTGAGGGTAATGAGGAGGCAGACCGACTGGCGAAGCAAAGCTGCCTCACCAACAGCTGCCCCTGCTCATGGACTGGAAGCCCCACTCTCAGTCAGCGGCATATGTACAGTACATCGATCAGACAGCTCAGTGAAGAGAGGCCCTGCTCAAGTGGTGGAGCAATGCTGAGAGCAAGCTCTCCCAATGGGATCGGAGCTGGAGGCACAGGCGCTTCCATCATGAGGGTGTGAATGAAGCTTGTGTGGACACAACAAGAGCTCAGAACACTTCCCTCACTGACCCAAGAGACCAGCTGTGTTGAAGGGTAATGTTGTTGTGTTCTATTGACTAACTAAGCGAGAGCAACACAATATAGGGTAGCCGTAGTACCACTAGCACAACAGCTCTCTTGAGTCTCTGGAACCGACTCAGTTCTACACCCAATTCTATAACTATACGGTGAGCTGTAGGCTGCAGACAGGCATACTCTGAGCCTCTCTCTACTTCCAGCTTATCTTCTCTGATCTTCTTGTGCTCAGTGCTTCTCTTCACCTCTGTTATATCTGCTTCTTCTCTTTGCTTTTCCCATGTCCATTACTTGCTCTTTCTTATCTTTATCTCTCATCACTCTCTTCACACTGGATATTGTCAATGTTCTGAAGAAGTCAGCTCCCTCTCAGTTCTTCTATAAAACAATAATTGAGGTTTTAATATAAGTTCCAACTATTTCCTTATATCCGCGTATTATTGTATTTAGCATTCCATCATATAGTATGTATATATCCTGGTATATACTCTAACACATATACAGCCTTACACCCACCTACACCTACTCCATATATCCCTACGCATCATCTCTCCATCATCTCTCCATCTCGGCCGATTCTCCTCTCCCGCAAGATTCCCGGAAAACGCTTTGCCGCGCAGCCAACCTGGCCCAAGTGGCCCCACCAAGCTTCCCGCGGGAAACCACCCCACCCACCCGCTGCTTCCCCGGCCCGGTCTGGGCCCCGGGTATTGCAGGGAACCGTACGGTACGGTTCCGGTTACTGCTGGTGCGGGTAACGTAGCGCCCAACAACCGTCACGATGTTCCTCTCCTCCAACAGGAACAGGAACAGGTACATACACAGATACCAGCAACGCTCTGATGCCGTGGTTCCGCGCCGGAATCCCGTTGCGGCGGATCGGGAAACCCACCGCCGGAGAGGGCTTTTGGCGGGAGTTAAATACCGGCGAAGGAGCCAGGTAGGGTGCAGGCTGGAGAGAGGGAGACCACACACGCCCTTTGACATCGCTGCTGGCATTAGGGACAGGGGGGGATAGATACATAGATATATTGATATAATCTATATATACACCTCTCTATATCTCACTCTCTGCATCGGACATACAACTTGAAGATACGTCGAAGATACCTCCTTGTCGACCGTCCTTGAATCTACATACATACCACTCTGCAGGATGGGCAGCTACGGCGAGCCGCTGCTCGAGGAGATGCACTCCCCGCCGTGGGATCCCAAGTTGCCGCCGAAGCCATGGACGGAGACACCGCTGATTGAGTCGGAGCCGCTGTCGAGGCTGGCTGGATGGTGAGCCTGGCTGCATTGCATGGAGCCATCCCCGGGTGCAGATTATGAATATTACTACTAACCCATGACTGCGACAGCCGCATATTCCTCAAACTCGAGAACCTGCAGCCGGGCGGCTCTTTCAAGTCACGGTTAGTCATTATATCTGTCTTTCTCTCTCTCTCTATATATATAATAATAGCACCCCCCTCCCCCCCCCCTTCCTATACCCAACTGACAACCACACAGCGCCATGGGCAACCTGATCCTCCACCACCTCTCCCGCCCTGCCAACCACAACAAAAACCTCCACTTCTTCATCCCCTCCGGCGGCAACGCCGGCATCGCCGCCGTCACCGCCGCCCGCGCCCTCGGCTACCCCTGCACCGTCGTCGTGCCCACCTACACCTCGCCCATGATGCTGCAGCGCCTGCAGGCCGCCGGTGCCATCACCGTCCCGCACGGCGCCAACATCGACGTCGCCGCCGCCCACATGCGCGACGTGCTCATGGCCCAGATGCAGGGCGCCGTCGGCCCGGACGGCCGTGAGCTCGTCGCTGTCGAGCTGCACCCCTTCGACCACGAGGCTATCTGGGAGGGCGTCAGCTCCATGGTCGACGAGCTGGCCGTGCAGCTGCCCCCGGATGCGAGCGGGCGTGCTTTCGCGGCCGACGCCGTCGTGTGCAGCGTCGGCGGCGGCGGGCTGATGAATGGCATCATGCTGGGGATCGAGCGGCTGTTGCGCGGTGCTGGTGCTTCTGGTTCTGGTGCTGGTGCTGGTGATGGTGACGACGGGGCCAGCCGCGACGTGCAGATCCTCGCGCTGGAGACGCGGGGCGCGGAGTCGCTTGCGAAGGCGGTCGAGAAGCGCGCGCTGGTGTCGCTGCCCGGCGTGTCGTCAATGGCCACGTCGCTGGCCGCCATGCGCGTGGCGGAGCGCACGCTGCGCAACGTCCTCTTCCCCCCCGCCGGTATGAGGGTGCGTAACTTTGTGATGGACGATGCGGAGGCCGCGAGGGGCGTGTTGCGCCTGGTCGATGAGCATCGCTTGCTGGTTGAGCTTGCCTGTGGGGTTTGTGCGGAGGGGGTGGTGGCGGGTGCAAAGCCTGGGGGGGATGCGAATGGTCATGTCGATGGCCATGTGAATGGGGGCCCTGTGGGCGGTGGTGGTGGTGGTGGTGGTGGTGCGCTGCCGTCGAGACTTGCGCAGGTCATCCCGGGCTTCGGGCCGGAGACCCGTGTGGTTGTCGTTGTTTGTGGCGGGAGCAATATTACCCTTGAAGTGGCTGCGGAATACCGAGAGCGGCTTAATAACGGCTGGGGCGCTGAGAGCGGATGAAGGGTTTCTTTCTTACTTTCTTTGTGCGTTTTCGTATAAGGTATTGTGTCTTGCGGGACTGGGTGTTGGGAGTAAGTTAGACATGGGCGTATTTCTCTTTTTCTTTTCTTTTCTTTTCTTTTCTTTTCTCTTCTTTTCTTTCTCATTCAAAGACGTAATGTAATGCACCTTTCTTGCGTGGGATGTCCCAAAACGGAAAATAAAAAAGGATGATAGAAAAGATGTTCTGGCATCTAATGTTAATAAAACAAAACAGTACATTTCATTATTTTTCATGTTCATGACTTCCTTTTCATAAAGTTATCATTCTTGTTCGCATACCGTAATGTCATGTCTTACTCTGAGCAACTTGTTTCCAAAAAAGAAACATAAAAAAAAACAACCAACAACAACAAGCCCTTCCGGACACATGCTGAGCCCGTGACTGGTTTTTCGCATATCGAAGCAAACCTCTTAGGCCACCGCAACGGACTCCCCATCAAGCATCCGAAGGCGATAAGCCCAGTAATTACTGCGGATCGGGTCATACTTATCCTTCAGCAGCGTAAGCATTCTAGCCGCCTCGGCCTTTTTCTTCTTCTCCTTCTTCTCTTCCTCCGCGTCCCTTTCCTCCCCCTCCTCCTCCTCCGCCTCCTGGGTATATACATCCGCCAACCACTCTAGGGCCAAGCTGCTCTTAACCCGCCACGCAGCAACAGCCCCATCGCCCTCCACCTCCGCCACCTCCTCCAAAACAAACTTGGCCGCAAACCCCTTAAGCTCCGCTAACGGCCTCCCCGCAGCCAGCAGAACACCCCGCGCGTAGGCCCAGGGACTCTTGTTCTCGGGCGCGAGGAGGATTTTGGCCTTCGCATACGCAAGCTCGGCATCGATGAGCTCTTCGTCCACGACGATGAGGCTTCCCTTGTTGTGGCAGCTGCGCCGTTCGTCGTCGTCGTCGTCGTCGACGCCGAGCGGCATGCCACTATCGACGGCGCCGCGCGGGCCGAATTTCAGCGTCCACCGGTGGTTCCAGGCGGAGTTGTTGCGGACGTCTTGGTCGATGAGTGCTTCGACGTCGGCCAGTTCCTGCGGGTGGTCCCAGAGCTTGAAGTGGCGGACCAGCCAGTGGCGGTAGGTCCAGACGTGGTAGTTTTTGGAGTCAAGCGCGAGCATCTGCATGAGGAATTGCTGTTCGTTGGCTGGGAGGGTTGGGAATGATTGGGAGTTGGACATGATTAGTTGGCGGTGGTGCCTGGTATGTCCAAATTAGTGGGTGGTTATATACCGATTGAAGAGAGCTGTGAAAAACTAGCTTGTGTATGGGTTTTCCCCGGCCCCTCTCACTTACCATATTTGATAATTCTTCAAATACTGCAATGCGAGTTTATTAACCCATGCAAGCTCCTCGTTAAGATCCTTCTTCAATGCCTCGAGAATCTTAGCTCTGTATAGCCTGGATTAAAAGGAAGGCAGAGGGAACGGATATCCCAAATCGCATCAGTAAGTACCCTGTCAAATCGAACTCCCATAACTGCAATTAAATAAATACTATACAGACCCACACCATGGATGTTTTGGCAACCCTCAGAAAATCATCCTACTGTAATCGAGGCAAGGAAAAGTGGTGGAGATTGCCAACGCTTTTTTTTGGCTTGGGGAAGTAGGTACATGTAGGTAAGACTCACCAAACCGTATAATGCGCCGGATTCATCAAGATCACATCCCCCGTCAGCTCCAGCGCGCGCTCTGACATTTCATTTTCCGCCATAACAGCCCGCAGGTACGAGGTTGCCTCTTCGTACTCGGGCGCGTAGGCGATTGTGGCGAGCGGGTACGTCCCATTTCCACTCGCGCTTTCTTGTTGCTGCCCTGGGCCGTCATTGTCATAGTAAGTTGAACCATCATCGAGCGGGATAGGGGTTATGGAGGCCCAGGTTGGGGTGGAATATTTGCTCATTTTCGGGTGCCCTTTTTGCTCTTTTTGTCTTTTTTCTTTTTCGTTTTGTGAGATGCAAGGTATTTATATGGAGTAGGTGATTGATATTTGATTGCTAAATCAGGGAGAAGCGGGAAACAATGGGAATTAGATAGTTGTAGAGGGCTCAAGTTATATGGGATGTGCGCGGATAGTATATGTATGAATAGGATCTAACAGCGTCCTTCGAAGGGGACAATGGGAAGATCTCAAACAGCCATGCCAACCAGGCAAAATCCAGAGAAGCACCTCATGCGGGGGTTCCTGATTGTGCAAGTTGGAGAGGTTATCTAAGGCCGCTGGCAGATGAGCTGGTGGAATTGTTCCCCTCTGCGGCCGCTATCTGGATGGGTGAGAGAAGATAGATGATCCGGCACAATGGATTCCCGGCATCTAGCGAACAAAGGAGATGGATGGATCGACAATATATCATCAACACAGGAACAATAGAAGGCACAGATATAGTTAGAGCCTCGGATGGAGTTAAATCTACGTTTGTGCCCGATCCGGCAAGTGGTTGCAAATACCACGTGATCATCGATAATGCTGGAGGCTGTTAGATAGATCATAACAACCAAGGTTAAACCCTCTTACAGGTTATGAAGCCCTTGCACTTCTATGAAGCAATAACTTGCAATAATCTCTTTAATAACTACTTCTTTTGCAAAATAATCTCTTCTTCTATTCATTTTGATACCCTGATACCTTCAACGACAAATCAAATGCCAGTCAGTACGCAAGCAACCAACTGTGAAGAAACACCAGAGAACCAGAGAACCCCTGACACCTTTCCAGCATCAATAATCACTCAAGGATAAGAATACCAAGATCCTATACATATCATCACTGAGAACATCAACTCTGTGATAGAGAACATGTTTTAAACCCCTGAAATGAGCGGGATGCCATGGGATTCAGAGGTTGGATTTCATGAGAGACTTTTGCCTCCTATATGAAGAGAGCTGCTGTGATACACCATTATGAGAGAATAATATTGCCTTCTAGTTGGAGAGAACCCCTGTGGTATTGGAATTCAATATTGTGAGAGAATAATGATAATGCTGTGGGATTCAAAGGTTGGATTTCATGAGAGAAATGATGATGCCAATACCGACGCCAAAACGATGGAAATACCTCTATATGATGCCTGATGCCCTGTGCCTGATGACTATGATGTCAGGCCCCAGTGCCTACAATGCCAATAACCATAACCCCGTGGTATCAACAATATCACGGATATAACAATACTCTGTGGCATCTAGTTTCCCATAAGGATTAGGCTGAAAACATATGAAATTACAGTATAAAACATGCAATAAAAATATAAATCCACTCTTACTGTATCCCCAGTCATCCTAACACCGCAAGATCTCATATTTTGTTGATTTTTATTGTTATCATTCCGTCACTCTTGGTTATCAGTATGGTTATATCCGTGATATCATTGATACCACAGAGTTATGGTTATGGTTATATCCGAAATACCGTTGATACCAGTTTTTGTAATTAATTTTTATTGCAGATTTGAATGATTTGGGCGTTTTTGTGGCTGCGTGGGCTAGTTTGCCTGTGTAGCATAGGGATGTTTGAGGTCCTACACAAGCCCTACCCTATTTGACCCACACACACATATATTAGTTGCCGCTAGCTGTTAGATAGATCATAACAACCAACCAAGGTTAAACCCTCTTACAGATAACATCCAGTATTGACCAGGATAAGGATGTTTATGGAAACGAATACTGCTTTGGCCAAAAACGCTACATATATAAACAGTGCGTAGAAGGGCGATGATAACACATCACAGCACAGGTATTAATTTAGCAACATATAATTTTTATAAACGACATCGGAGGAAGGAGGTGAAAAATATAGAAGCAATGAGTAGAAGCACTGCCTGTGTAAGAAAAAATTTTTTTGAGCCATAATAGATAAAGTATAGAGGTAACTCATGATTAAATAGTGTCGATTGGTATAAAATCAAGGGAGAAGAATTGATAAAAACGAACCCGAGATTGCTCTCATGCTCTCTGATCTGGATTGAACTCTGGGGGTATTATTATTCTTCAGAGAGTCGAGTCGCGGGTGGAGAAATCGCTTTGATAAAAGCAATTAATACTCGTAGGCAGAAATAACAGAATCCCGGAAATGCGGGTGCGACATAAGCGATGGCGCGTTCGAGGGTGGTGTTCGAGATTTATAGGAGTTCGAGAGGTGGTAGGGGACGGATGAGGTCCCAAGGAAGGGTTTCGACAGGGAAAACATACGATTGTCGATCGGGTATTGCAATAAATCCTGTGCAGAAGTGAAGCCGGCCACTCTGGAGGATAACAAGAAAAGAAACAAAAGAAACAAAAGAAAATTCTGGATAGAGAAAAAGCTGCTTCGCTGGAGAGGACACGAAACTAGTTCGCATTGCTTCCACGCTTCCAGAATTTCCAGCCCTCTCGCTTCTCATGCTCACCCACACCCACTAAACGTTCAATCCCAGCGTTCCCAACCGCATTCTCGAATTTTTGTTGGTCAATCTCCTCCCCACCTTCCTCGTCTGTTCCATTCTTCAGTACAGCAGGCCACAGCACTCCAATACCATGGCCACCCAGAATGGTTTCATAGCGCTCAAATCCTTCGTCGTCTAGTGTTTTTTCTAGGCGCTTTAATGCTGCTGGGTCTATGTTTGTTCTCAGCAATGTTATCGCGCAACCACCGCCGCCAGCACCTGTAAGTTTCGTCCAGCCTGAGCCGGTGTGGTCAACTAATTCTCGGATGCGCTCAAGGCGGGGATGAGATACTCCGAGTGAAACGAGGAGGCCATGGTTGATGCGGAATAGCTCGCCAAAATGATCGATCGCCTCGCTGGAGCTTTTATCAAAGCGCCCGGACTGGATGAGGTTGCTGGCAGATTCTGTAACCTGATCTATGGCTTCGAGTATCGATTCAGAAACGGCAGGGTGTGCTTTGCAAAAGTTGGCAACTTTCGCAACCTCAACTGAAGTGGACCGTGGCTGGCGCGAATTGACAAGGAGGAGAGGGAGTTCGGGGAAATCAAGTATGGGAGTCACGGAGGGCGGTTTGGAATAATCTCCTCTTCTAAATATGACGGCTTTCCCACCAGCTGACACAGTATTATCCACACCACTTGGGTTGCCGTGTATGCACATTTCACCAACGAACGCCCACTTGTTTATTCGCTCAATCTGGGTTTCTGCCTCTTCAGGCAGCTGATCTTGATGTGGACCTGCTAGAATACGTATCTGTAACAGGAGAGCTGCGCTAAGACAGACAGCTATACTTGCACTGCTCCCTAATCCAGCACCAATGGGGATGGTTGATCGTAGTGTGTACACTGCGGCATGAGTCTGTGGGGAGCTGAGGGAGAGAAAGAGATATAGGAAAGCAGTTGCTGAGCTTTGGTGGATCTTCCGCACCTCATCTGGTTTGCCAATAGATATGTCTGCGATATGTGGTTGTATAGCTTCAAGCAGCTCAGTGTCAAGAGAGGTGACAGAACTGTGGTAGAATTTTTTCTTGGATGGGTGATGGAATAAGTCCCAGGGAAGCGAATCAATATCCCATGTGTGATCCAATTCAATATCCCTGAAATTAAGCGTAATGGTGCGATGCGACTTTGATAAAGTAGTAACAAGAAGGTAAGAACGGAGGGATATGGCAGCGGCTATAGCCCGCCTACCATGCACGACGGCATGTTCTCCGAAGACAATGACCTTGCCGGGCGCGGAGACCATGAACGCCGGTGCCATGGGCGACGATGCTTTTCTCCCCATCCTGGTTCGATTGCTAACAATTGGGGTATCGCGTTGATCATCGGCGTGACCATTCATCCCCGGGGGTGTGGGAGAAGGTGTCGCCATTCCATCTGAACTTTCCGACGTGTCTTCTTGTTGGGTGGGGGTATGGGTCTGGTCTTTGGCTTCGATGGAATTCTTTGGACGGGAAGGGATTTCTCTGTCGCTATCCTCGGTTAATATGCTGGCAACCTTCCGGCGCGCATTCGCCTTCGAATGTCTCATACTCCCACCCTTTCGTCGTGCAGACTTCTCCATGGGAAATAATGGGACGCGCAGGTAGGTAGGTAACACAAACTCCCCGCTTTCCGAGACGTTGCTTTTCGGCAAGTTGTGAACTGCGAAACAGACCAGGTCACTCACTCACTCACTCACAATGCCGATTGATAAGCTAACAATGTATCACGGGGAGCACAATTCGACAACCTTTGATAGGACAACCCGAGACCAGGGTCAATGCGCGGTGACAGGAGAGAGATCGATCAGAAATTTCGCGATGGATGCCTGATATGCGTGATGATGTTCGGCGGAGCTAAGGAAAATGCCAATTGCCGTTTTGGGACCAGACGGCGCCAAGCGCGTATCTACGCCGCGGATGCAGCGGTATTACACAGCATCTTCAGCCCCAGAAAACATCGAAACTCAAGACAACTTGAGCAAAGTCGTTGTTTTATGATCGATGCCTGCAACTCGATCGCCGGGTCCTTCCAGCGCCTGCATGAATCCAGAAGATTGAGTTTGACCAAGCCGGAAAACACACGCTAGAAGAAGCCATGGAAGCTGTTCCCCACCACAGTATGAGTCGGCCAGTCAGAGACCACTTATTAGACACAATTCCCGGGCGTTTCACGATACGAGTATGTTACATCGGGTTTCTAAATAGGGTCGAAAATGCTTCTATTGAAAATCTCACATACAGAGTTGCTTTTCTGGAGGGAATTCATGTTCGTGACAAAGGGCGGGAATGCGTGTAAAAATCCGAAGATGTAACTATTTGATTTGACTGCTGGAGAAGGAATCCATCAGTGGCATGTACGGACAGTACGAGTATTTACTTCCAAAGTCTGATACCCGAACTCTTTTTTCTCATACAAAAAGGAGAATTCTAATAAATATAAAATATATTTCTTATTGTAATTGATAATCTTCTGTCGTTACATCTTTTCCAACTATATCATAAAAGATTGGCTGAAAAATAAACATATAATACATAATATAAAATTGAAATATTTTCTAATGTGAATTTATATACAGTACATTCATATTCAGATTATTAGTTATAATTTTCGTATTTATATTAGCAAACTCATCCTCTTGCAATATATGATGGAGGTGGAAGGCTGGTTAATTGTAAATATCTGGCGGGTGCTCCTTTCTATATTATGGCCCTATCAGGCATTATAGATATCTTCATCAATATATAATATAACTATTAGTTATTATTAAATTATTAAATAATATATATATATATACATATGGAATAACTATATTCCTCATTCGTTTAATATTAAAATTTTTGTAAAATATTGGGTGGTAGTTGTATCGATAATCCTAACTACTGTAACTGATCTTAATAAATTTGTAATTTTTCGACAAAGAAGATTTGAGACACACCTCACTCATATCTTCTCCTTTACTGAATGCTGGAATTTTCCAATGAACATGAAACGTATGGTATGAGATTTCAACATAGAATCCACAAGTGTGGACTGACATATCCCGATAATTGATTCTTCAATTCGCATGGAAAATCACATTACCACGTCATTCCCTCCAGATTCCGGCCGTATCGCAAGCGGCCGTAGGGGAGCGGAGATCAAGATCCCTCCTTCACCAACTTGCAAGCTGGTAAAACTGGCAAGGCTGGCCTTCTCGGCGAAGTTGTTGTGGAAGCCTTGAAGCACAGAATCTTGCTGGTGGCATCTCTGGAAAGCCTGGGGTATTTTAAATGCTGATACGTCAAATCCTTCTAGAAACGAAAATGCTGACCTGCAGGAATTTAAATTCAACTATTTTTCGTATATGCACACTCTAGATGGCAAATCGGTGATGTCAATCAATAATTTGTAATTAAATACTAGTAACAAATTATCCGATACTGAGCAAATTGACAACGTGTGAAATATGTATATGACCCTTATCATCTAACACTATTTCCGAAGGCTAAGGGCTGTGGGTTAGGATTATTTCCTTCATCTAGGCTTGAGCATATTAGAATATTAGTGATAGCTATTGCAATAGGCGGAATGTTACCAGTCAATTAGATTTAGAATAGTGGCTTGCTTTATTTTACCATCCGTATTTCTATGAGAGGACGAAGATGAAGAAAACTTGAGACGAAGGGCCAATACAAGTGCCCAGCTGTTCTCCAGCTGGATAACTCCTTCGACAACTCTTATAAGCAAAAAGAGAATAATCTGGAAGATGTATTGAGAATGCAACTAAAAGCACCGTTAAAGGAGAAATACAGATTTCAGGCAAGAACACCCATTTGTAGAAGGACCTCAACGATTCGACCAAGGAGAAATGGAGCCAGTATCAACGCAAATATCCTACTTGACATTACGCGATACAATGCATAAAAATATCAGGAATAGAATATCAATAGACAGGCTGATAGATAAAGAAAAGAAACAAATATGTGGGTATTGAAAATATCTTCATGTCACTCCTCATGAACACCAAACCGTGATTTAGCTTGCGCTGGCACTGCCTTCGGCCCATCCATCATAGAAACCTAAGGGGACCAGGCACCCCGACGTCGCAGGCTCTGGACGAAACGTTCAACAGTTTCCCCATGACCGGACCTTCTGAAAGCCTCGAAGATTATGCGCTTTTCTTCGCACATTGCATCCCCATCCGCTGCATTTAGGTACATCAAGGAAATGGCAACAGGGAAGCTTGCCAAATGTACTCCGTACGCTCCAGATTGCGGATGTAAGAGCAGAGGCATCGCTTTAGCGATCCTGCCGCAATATATCCTCGGATCGGTCTGTGGCGGGAGGATTACCTGAGGACAGGACAGAATCCGAAGTGAGCTGTATAGAATGATGCACATGGCCCAGTAGAGACACATGATGTGGCACGCTGCTAGATAATCGAGCGAAAATGTTGAATGTTCGGCATCGAGGCTATACGTCGGATCAGTGATGCCTACCTCGATGCGCCAGGACACAAGCTCATTTTCTAATTCACAGCAACTTTGAAGCAAATCACGCCGCTGGAATTCCTGTATTTCCTGATCCAGGCACGCTCGCATTATATCCATTTTTTCGAGAAACGTTGGTATCTCGACCAGAACGTCGATTAAGAGATCCTTTGGTGTTTTGGGTATCTCGTTCCAAGGAATAGTTTTCCATTCAGGATTGCTTAAAATAATTCTCTTTCGGGCTTGAACGGCACTGGTTGTCTGTGGGGTCGAAAACAATCCGAGTCAGCACATACGTCATATTCGTGCTCAAGGAGGCTTATGGGAAGAAAAAAGTATGCTGACAAGATGAAGTCTTCCGTCGACGAAAAATTGGTGCAAGTATCCCGAAATGTAAGTTTCCGGCGGTTGGGAGGTCATAATAGCCAGTTCACCATTAATGTGGTGTCGCCAATTACGAGCCTGGGCTATTCTGTCCTCGTCATCCTGCCCGAAGAATACCTAGTACATCTGTGAGCAGAGGCGGATACATTGTTTTCGCCAACGGAAAGTAGAGGGACACTAAGCACAGTACCTCGTAAAGACTATATAGCCTGGACATGACACATAAAGTAACGATATTTCCTCGTGTCCGATTAGCGAGCGCAGCAGACATCTCGCTGAGAGACTCCATATAGTATCTAAGCCCTTCCTCTTTTTCCCATCTGTTGTTGCTTATGCGCCCTGCCGTTGATAGGCATATCGCAAGCAGTATTTTTTGAATATCTGGCGAGTTGAGATAAAGCTGGGGCAGCGAATTTGTCCAACCGCCGCTGACGTACATCATCATTTGTGCTGGGAAGTGTTTATCTGTGGGAAGATAACTACTCCAGAAAATACCGAGATACTTGTCTGCATATGCAGCCCGCGCCAGGGGCACCGGTAAGGTAACTTGGGGAGAGCCCTTATCACTTCGACCAGCCTTACGAGGCTCCGCACTGAAGTTGATGAAGCGGAGTTGACGCTCATATCCATCGCACTTCAGTCCTAGCTTGATGCATTGTCCACACGATGGGCGTTTTTCGTCACACTATGCGTTGTTGGTTGTTAGAATCCTAAGTTCCTCTGCCCTTGGATCGATGACTTACGCCTCCTTTCTTACGGATCCTGCAAGTACCACAACTCTTGGATCTCCCGGGAACGCCAACCATCTCGACTATTTGTTCGTTGGCTCTGTATCCAAGGGCGCGGATTGTTTCCTATTCGGGGACAAACGAGAAAGTCTCAAGTGGGAATCGCTGCTGGTGGGCCTAGACAACAATAGAAATGAAGCCGAATTCGGTGTTTAACTCTTAACTCACAGTCTATTCGGACTCAAACAAGACTGATCGGACAGAATATGCTGATTCCAGTTCACCTGTATTGTTAGTTTTGGCTGGGAGAGGAAAGGGATTAAATCCTGAGTGGTGATATCTTCAACCACGCTTTTAAGGCAAATTAAATACGCCCAGTCTGTGCTAGGTCTTTTCCCTAATTGCCTTCTACGCCGTTCCGTAATGAAACAAGTCCAGGCTTCTAGTTCATGGCCCCCTCGAATTGTAATTAATCCTGGGTCGGTAAGGCTGAAAACCCAACTAAACCCGCGAGAATTACGACGATACATGCGGTCCATTGTCTATATTTAGCGCATGGGATGTTGAGCTGGACGGAGCACCCTATTCAGAATTCGTATGAGTGTCAACCCATAGGGCGATTGTTTTCAACAGAACAATTAGCGTCCTTAGCGCACCACGCAAAACTTGAGAGATGGCGTAGCTTGGAGATACTTCAGCCAATAAAACACAACCAACACGTCGGTACAGGTAGAGCGGTTTAAGCTTTAGTTATAACATTCATGTTAAGTTACATGCTGAGACGGATTCTTTAACATTACCCGAGGCGCCGATCTAGTGTCGAACCTTGAAATCTTGGGCCAGCCTTCCAACAGCTGAGGTAATCCCGCACAGGCACGGCATCACCGCGTGGGTTTTAAGGTGTGTATGCTGCAGGTTGTGAACTAAGGTTTAACACTAAACCCAACCCGGAGGATTACCGCGCAAGGACCAATAATTCTTCACAAAGCAAAACCTTAAAGCAAGTCCGCTCCGAGGCTTAAATTTAAGCATGAATTGTTAGCGGCTTGGCATATATGTTGTTCTACGGATTTTCTTTCCATATTTTCATATGGTCATCGCAGGTATCAGGGCTATCCCGGCTCATCTCTCGGGAGTTGAACGAATAGAAGAGATTTCGATCTTTAAAAATTGCTGGCAAAATTGGGAGATATAACTCTTCTAATTCCCGCTCCATTTCTCGATCATAGAATGAACTACCGCACGCACCCTAACCCTTTAAAATCATCTACACTCGTCAGTTTGACTCCTTTTCTCAATATTAGCCATGGCTAATGTTGACCACCCACCGGCCAATATTTTCGTAGCAGTGGCCAAGAAAGTTTATAATCTAGTTGGATTCTCTAGGGCCGCAACTTTATTTTCTTTTTCATATTTGATGGGGCGTTGAGTGGATACGCACTGGCGATATTCTAACACTTCAATTACCACGGTATATTCTACGACTCACCTAGGATCGGCGAGCGCTACTTCTTCACGAAGGGCATTGAGGAAATTGGCCTGATTGTTCTGCTTGACACCATTCCCCTGGCTTAATTTCCTCGTCGTTTTCCAATTTATCTCTGCCATCTGACACAAGTGGATCATGGTCCACAGGATCAATGCCTACATGATCCTTGTTCTATCCGCTGTTAGCATGAAAATTTCCCTAATGGCTGCTAGCCGTTTTTCGCAGGTTACCTGGACACCCAAATGGCTGTTGAGCCCATCGAAATTCTCTCATTATATACGCATGGTTTTGGGACAAATCAACGTCGAACGCCTGCAACTCGAGCAGCACAGAGCCTGGATGCTCAGAGGATGGATTTACGTATATTATGAATTACTCTATCAGGCATTTTGACAAAATGTCATGACTGACAACTCGTTTCACAGTTTCAGTCCTCATGCATTATTACCCTGCGGGCCATGCATATCATCATCATGACATGACTAATAAGCGCAGGGGGTGAGTAGTATGGTGCCAAACCTTGCGCACAAGTCAAGCACACCGCTGGAAAGAATAGAACACGAACCATGTAGTTACCTTGATTGTGATGCTTACTACTCCGGCGACGATTTAAACAAGCAAGTTCTGGTTCAGGCCAAGTACAAAGGAGGGGTTAATGCAATGAACGCTGGAGATACTTTCGCCTTCCAAGGCTCGCTTCGGACCACCCACGTGGCTGGCGTTTAGTCTTCACGCAATTATCGAAATCCACGTACGTTTTCAAAATCCGCTATTTCCAAAGCCAAACTGTCTCTGTTTCGTCCCCATGTCCAAAACGTTGAACTGCTACAAAAGTTAACGATCATGTTCCAATTGTATAGTTTCATCTGACCCTTTTCGAAGCCGAAGGGACTTCGGAGTTTATCCTAGCAGCGGCAACAAGAAACTGACTGGAGAACTCGGGACGGGCTGGATTGACAGCTGACGGTTTGGGTGGCTCTGCGCTATGGAAACCATAGTGTGAACTATATTCCCCTAGTGATGATAACGGAGGGATAATATCATGGGCTATGAGGGCTTTTACATACCCCCTCTGAATTTCTTTTGTTATCCAATTTCATAGAATATAAATATATTTCATATCGAAGCCATGAAACCGAAAATTGAAAGCTAGGAGCCGATGAAGCTAACCAGTAGAGGCTTTAGCGCCGGATTTCGGTATTTTTTCCATTTTCATACAATCTTAAACACAACCCGGTACCCCGGCCCCGGAGCCTCATTTTGTTGGGCCAACAGGATGACGAGAAAGAAGAACCCGATTAGGTCAGCCCTTTGTGTAATTCTGTCTAGAACCGATGCAGTAAGGATGGGGCATCTCTAAATAATAAATATACGTAGGAAGTTCGCAGTTGGATTGAACTAGCTCGCATTTGCTGTTTCGTTTGGAAGTGATGCATGCAGTTACCTCCATCTTTGCTTGGATTGGAAACGGGGGATATTCCCCTCCTCGCTTCTTGGGCGCCACACAGTTTGCTGGTGTGCGTTAAGTCAGGGTCATTGGAGCGTTTATTCTCCGGCTCCAGCCCTAGTATTGGATGCAAATATGGATCGAAGGCGAAATGAGACTTCATCTTCATTAAAACGTTTTCTTTCGGCCAGATGCAATGCTAATTGGTAGAATCCTGTTCTTCGTCCTGAGAAGCCAGGAATAATGAAACCGTTGTAGCGACCCCAGTACGGTGCAGCGGGAAGGCTCCCTAAAACGGTTAGCTCAGTGTTTTATTTTAGCATTCCTGTTTGTTTTTCAGCTCCTCAAATCCCTGGACAGGGTCTTCAATCTCAAATCGGCTGCTAGGGGAGATGCAAGGGTTAAACTTTAAACCAACCTTTGCTGCAAGGATCGTGGCGTTCCGAAGCAGGAACATATTTTTTGAAAAGTCCTGCGCATCTTTATTTTTGTCCCATATTGGTTTCCTGAAAAGGCTATATCTGGCGATATCTCTACCTACTCTCTCGCTGGAGCAAACAACGTGGAGAGCATCATCACCCATATGGAGATGCCTTCCCGTAATCCAACTGCTAGGGTCGGCACTTTGGGCCGTTTCGGAGCCGATGTTGGCAGGGCGGAAAAGGCACTAACGGTTCGGTCACCGATAGTTCTACCTTATCCCACCGCGCCAGTGGCATCTCGCCGAACTCCATCGCTTCGTATTAATCTTGGCTTTTATGGTGCCATCGCGAAGATAGTTCATCTCTGGAACACAAGTATTTGTCTGAAACTCTGGATCAAGAATGCCATTTGCACGATCACAGTGTTCACAGTCCTTGGCATGCCAATGCAGCTGTCCAGGGGTTTCTCAGGCCCAACTCAATAAATTCAAGTTTTTCATCAGGAGATGTTTTGTTGCATTGAACCCCAGGATCGTGTCTATATGTATATAACACCTATGCTTTTTAGCCAACAATTGTGCATGCACAGCTTCTAATATAGATCACAGCCCATACTACAGAGGTCGCTGCGAAAAGTTTTGTCCCACGCTAAGAATGCACACTGAAATATCCTTACTAGTATATGGAATCTCCAGGCCACACCACCTGGGATTTAGGCAGTGAGCTAGTGGGCAAGCTAGAAGGATTGGCCTCTATCAGCCCTCCCTATCCTTCTCATTAAGAGATGGAACAACAATACTTAATGCCGGTATCAGTATTTCAGCTCAAATTATTAGCGCAAGTCAAAACTTTTCACAGGAGCCTCTGTAGTATTTAAACACTCACTAGTTCTGCTAAATCTGAATAGCAGAAGTGTAATTCCACAGTCTAGCCCAATACAGGCTGGTTTTAGAGTTCGCATGTGTTTCAAATCGCCGATTTCCCTAATTGCCCACTCATGTACTCTGTACAGTACATGTACTGAACCTGCAAATCCGTAACTCATAAGGTTTCCCCCTGCAATGCAGTGTGGCCCTTGATACAGGTAACCCACGAGGCTTCTCACGTCATCGACCGCCATTTGGAGTAATGGTCGTTAGATCAACGCAAAATCCTTTGAAGGCTTGGGAACGCTAAATTGGAAATAAGGTTCTCATTGTTTTTGTTGACTGTTGTTTCTGATTCCAAGAGTCTAATGTGACCTTCCACATGCACGACAAGGATGCAAGCGGCGTGGTGATACTCAGTCAAATCAGGTTTTACGGGTTTGCTGAAATTAATGCAGTCGCATCTATGGGCTGGGGTTCTCCGCATCATCGTAGATACAAGAGGAACATCATGCCGCATTTGAATGGCCTATCGAGCATGCAGAGATTAAAGTATTCTTGAAATCTGTAAAAATCCCCATCGGACAGGTGGACAAGCCTGCTGAAGACACGTGTGAGCTTGAATGTGGATTCACTACTGCATTGAATCAAAGAAGCTTTCCAGGTGCTGCAGCAAAGTTGCACACCCAAAGTGTTGGTGATACTGTGTAGCATTTTGCTGGGGATGGGGTCAGTCTGAACCGTTTCGCCGTGGTATGTGGCGGTGGCTGTTAGCTATAGGAAGAGACTTTAGATCAATCTTGCAGATTGGAGATTCTTTATATATATTAAAATATACCTGTAGGTTCGAGGAATTCCTACTGTGGGACAATAATCAACCGTGTGCTTCACCAAATAGCTGAACTATGGGGTATAGAGAGCTCACTTCTCAATGGATCGAGCAGAAGCAATGTAGCGCGCGCAGTGTCCCATCGGAGGGCTAGGTGGTGAAGGCATAAGGAGAAATGAACTGAGAGAGGAATGAGGATATGATGACAGTTAACCGCAATGTGCCTATTTGTCTATTCTGACAAATAGATAGAAGCATATTAAATGAGAGGAGACAAAGAACAATCGCGGAGGAGGTTGACATAGAAGGACACACAATTGATTGCTTGCTGTATCACGTAGAACAAACCCTATATGGGCGACAATATCTTCATTCTGAGCATCAGCTGAAACTGGATATCAGCGATAGGATCTCTTACAGATCTCCCAACCGAAGATTGTTTGGACACACGGCATCCAGAGTTTATACAACAGGACAGGTTGGAACTGAACGGGCGGGAGGAGCTCAAGAGAGCTTTGTCATCTAAGAAATTTTGAACCGGAAAAACTTTCGGCGCGGTTTCAACCCCTTGCAGAATAGATGGATGTCAGTAGATGTTCTCATATTTCTGAGCCTTTGATCCTTAATCCTGCAGCTGGAATAGTAATTTTGTTTGAGACGGGTGGGAATGACTTGGTTCCCGGCGGAACCCAAATTTGGACCCAGCGTCAACTGTGACAGAACCAAGGTTTGTAACCCGACTTACAACTGCCTCAGCTGCCTTGGATTGAACATTTCTTCTCAGAACTTCAGGTTACTACGTTACTTTATATCTAGCCCCACTTTTATGTCATCATCACTGTTCCGACTGGGGCCCCAGTTCGTGGAGGGAGATCTGGAAGATACGGTCTGGCTCGCTAAGTGAGTTCAGTGGGAATAGCTAGAAGCGTGTATATATACTCACCATGCACAAGAATCAGGCTGAACAAACTATTATTATCAAGGGGGCTTCATGGGCGCCCCCGCGTGGAGAACGAACGAGATGTCCTCGAACGTTTTCAGGGTCGGACTCCGTACTTGCGGCCACTGCTCGATAAAAGAATTGAAGCATGTCTCAAGATGTGTGTTGGAAGCATTGGCGACGCTACATGACGATGGCTATGTCCGTACGGGTGAGAAGTCCTCTCAAGCAATTTATAAAAGCTGGCTAACTAGTTTCGCAGATGTAAAACTTGATAACATCTTCGCGAATTATAAAGAAGGGGATGTACGATTCTCAGAGGTCCAGCTTGGAGATCTCGACGGTTCTTATAATGCGGATTCCTCTTACGCCAAAGCAGGAACGCTGGTCGGGACAACTATGTGACCCAGCCCAGAAATGATTATGGAGATGCCTTGGAACATTGCCGCAGATATCTGGTCGTTTGGGGCTGTCGTGCGTTTCTAAAAATGACGTAAAAAATAGAATGAAGGGAGCTGATCATCTCCTTCACAACTCGTAGCCTATAAATTTTATTTACGGCGGCAACTTTAACATCTTCCGTCCTCGTACCGTCCTGTACGACCACGAAGAGTACGGATTAGAAGTCCTAAAGCAGCAGTTTCGATACTTCGGTCCGTCCCCGGTGAAATGTGAGGAGATCGCAAGTCCGGAGACCATCACAGCTATTTTATACCTGATGCATGACGTTCCGCAGTCAAAATAACTCCATTCCATTGGACGACAGAGAGATCCCCGTGAAGGATAAGGTGTTCATTGGAAAAATCTGTGAAGATGGATTGGAGAGATAGGCCAACCGCAAGGGAGGTTTTGGCAAATGAGTGGTTTAAAGAGGATGGGTGAAAGAAATCATTATATCATCAACAGCAGCCTCTGGATAATAGCACTACACGTCCGGCCTTTTCTGGGCATCATCACTCGGCTTTAAATCATGTTTCAGTGAGATCTGAGTGCAAGATTCTACATTTGCAATGGAAGGGATGTTCCTCATACAATGAGAGAAACATGCTATTCTGGTTGACTATGTTTTAGCCATTTTTGTTAACTTAAGCTACTATACATCATGCCGCAGCTTATTCACAACTTGTATGGATGTACCTTAACAAAGTGATAAAAAAATAAGATACAAAGGATATTGCTACAGAAGGTATGAGGCGTAGGGTAATAGCCAGTCTGAAAACCGAACAGTATATAATGGAATTCAGAGGAACATAAACAGCCTATTAAATAGTAGTATCTAAAGCACATAGGAGGTTATAACCGAAGAAGGGAAGGAAAAAGATATCGGGAGCATTAAATAAATAGGATATTTATAGCTAAAGTCTAAGTTTTACTGAATTCCAAGAGATAAGGTTGAATCGTATGAAGTTTTTATTGTTAAAACCAACCTGTTTCTATGTAAACATTCGTTGAATCCTTATTTAGTTAGATATCTCCAGGTGCCTTCCTACCTTCCTGCGCCCCTGAGAGATTTACACTGAAATCCCTTATCATTGCCAGCTGCCCTCCCTGAGTTCCCTGCAAATACCTGTATAATACTCTACATTCCATGCTTGTATTTGATTTTGAAAGGAAATATTTTAGAAGTAACTTAATGGAAAAATTTTTCGATGTGAATGGAAACAGAATGTTCGAGAAAAAGGAAGCCTGTAACCCTCACAAAGGGTATGTTTGTAAACATTTTACCTGCAGAGCCCCAGCGTACTCAATAGGAAACAGAAGGGAAGCCAAGATGTAAAGGGAATAAATTGTCGGAGTTACAAAGGAACTCCGGAAAGAAACAAACAAGCCGTGCCGAATGATCACATTGGCATGGCGGGTATAAATGTAATACACGCAATCAGCCAAACCAGGCCAACAACATCCTTCGTCCCCCAACCCCTCTTAATTAATCTTTGGACTCAGGAGTAGTGTCGCTGTCATATTCCGCTGCAGGGATCGTGTGGTCGATAGTGCTCTTGCGGCGGATGGCATCTTCAAGGTACTCCGGTTTAAGCTGACCGTGCTTGTCGTAACGATAAGGCTCCTTGATCGAGTTGGTGACAGCATTAAAAACGTTTGTGGACTTCTTGAAGATGCTGTCCATCTCTTCGAGTGAGCGATATCGAGTCTCGGGGAAGAAGAAGTATACTGTCGGAAATATAAATGCGTTTCTAGAATTTGTGAGCTTCTAGAATTGGATACCAAAAAGTGGCCACAAGAATACGTTGGGAGGAAATATTTACATTACAGCGAAGATAATGTAGGTCTTGTACCCGATGCTGTCGAATGCCACGGGTGTGATCATCACGACCATGAAGTTAAAGACCCAGTTGGCACTGAACAAAAAATTAGTTTCGTCATATTCTCCAAGTATACAGAAAGGGAGGCTGTTTATACCTAGTTGACAGTGCATTGGTTGGAGCACGGATTCGGAGCGGCACAATCTCTGCCGGGTACAGCCACGTCATTCCAAGCCAGCCGATAGCAAAGAATGTGTTGAATACAAAAAGGAAGACTGCCTGTGCGATGCCAGCTTTGCTGTCGCCCAGGTACGTCAAACGATAGTTGGCACCTGCGAGAACTGCCATGGAGATGGACATACCAGCCGCCTAAGGTACCAACTTTTGTTAATGGATGTGATCCCAATATTCGGATGAGGGTGAGGGACATACCCCGAAAAGCATGAGGGGCCGACGTCCAACTTTCTCGATGATGTAGATGGGGATAAAGGAGGCCATGAAATATTCAGTTCCGTTACAAGCAGCTAGCAATTTTGGAAGATTGCTACCGGCAAGGCCGATTTGACTGTACAATTGAGGAGCCTAAATAATATCAGTAACGAACGCAGATGACAGCATCATGGTGAAAGGTAACTCACATAGTATGTGATAAGGTTGATGCCGGATATCTGCTGATACATCTGGACCACGTATGCGAGGACAACACGATGGAATTCACGGTATTCACTCATTTGGAAGAGACTTCTATATGAGCCCTTGGACATTTCCTGGACGGTGGCTTCGATGGCCTCTAGCTCAGCTTTGATAGCAGGGTTTTCACGGGGCATGTCGTTGAGAGCCTCAAGAATGTCAAGAGCGTCATCCTTTCGGTTCTGCATGACAAGCCATCGTGGAGATTCAGGCAAGTTGAGAATGGAGCAGAAAATGATCATCGCAAAAGTAATCTGAAAGGCCAAGGGAAACCGCCATGCCACTTCATTTTCTCCAATCCATGCAAAACCTGTTCCGCAATCATCAGCGTGTGTGTTTTGTTTGGGAAGAATATAAACAGTTTCAACCCACCATAGTTAACCCAGTAACTAAAAGTAATACCTCCTGTAATCAGAGCGCCCCAATCATAATCAGTTTACCACGATCATGAGATTTGGCAGTTTCTGATTGCCATGTTGGCACGGTACTAGTGTTAATCCCGTTGCCAATACCGGTGACAATTCGACCAACAATTAAATGTGGCAGATGATATGATGTGCATTGCAACAAGGCCCCGATAGACATTATGATGCAACCTGTGAAGATTGTTCTCCGTCTACCTAGCGGATTTCCAATGAAGATGGTGAGGATAGCTCCCAGGAAACATCCTAAGTTGTAGGCGGCCACTGTGATGCCTTGGTTCGAACTGCGCTGGGATTGGGCAACGGGGTCATTTATGATACGAGGGTCTAAAGGATCGATGGAGGGGAAGTATTTGTTAAATGATGGCGATCTAACAGGCCTCCTGTTACACCCTGATCGTAGCCAAAAAGACTTTGAATTTTTTGGGGGCGCACCGATCAGTTTGCGAAAGAACACTCAGCATCATGGAATGACAGAAACATACAAGAAATCAAGGCTGCCGAGTGAACTGATAGCAAGATTCAAGGTGCGGCCTCTAAGGCCCATGAAGTTTTTCCCTAACATGACGACAACGCACAGCGCAAACAAGCCACTTTGGATCTTGGGGAAAATAATGGAGTTCGAATATCAGAAGCAGAGAAATGACGACAGTAAATGATTAACTGGGGTATAAGGGGGTTATATATGTTCTATGACCACATCCGCACTCTGGCAGATCTCCCATGCTCTCGGATGGACAAACATCGCAAGCCGAGGCTGTGGAGAACCCGTAGGGTGATAGATATGCAGAGCGCAACATAGCAGCCCTGGGATGGAGAACGAGTTCCACAGTATTTCGGATTTTTGCCAGCCAATGGAGATGACGTAACTTCCCACTTTTCTTTTATTTGTTGAAATGTAATCAAACATTTCTTCCCCTCCATGGTCCTGCGGCTCCAGATAACCTGCTATCTCCACTCATTCGTCCCGAGATTCTTGGGATACCGGAAGCAAAATGGCGGCCAGCGCCACCTGTTTATCGATTACAAGCAAGAGGCATTGGCAGTCCCGGCCCTTCTTATAGGCATTAAAAGACCAATTCCCAGTTCAAGCGGCGTCCGTAGTTTTTGCCCGTTTTGATATTTTCGCCCTTGGTTCTTCCTTTTTGGGAGTGGAGCTGAGGGTGGAAATCTGTAGAGCGTTCTCCAGCGCTAGCAAGGGATAATTACTGGGATTTGCGGGAGTGGATGAACATCTGCCGCTAATAATTCTTAGCGGCAACACGGATACTTGTAGGCATATCGCATTCAAGCTTGAAAAAACGACCAAATTTTTATCAAGGTTTCAAGATGAACTGACTTGACATCGTACAGGCCGACGACCTTCATCTCAGCCTCCTCTCGGCATCTATGCGGCTATGTCGATGTTCTTCTCCCCTCCGGCCTCCCGCAACGGGAGAGAGTTTGGGACCTTGGGACGGCCAGATTAAAAATGGGCCCATGATGTCACTGTGCCTTGTCCCTGGTTCGGTGCCGAGATATGATCTATGAGACCCGTAACTGCCTGAGCCTTGGAAGGCCGACCAAACCAATCGCTGGATGCTTTCGGGTAGATGACGGCGATTTTACCAAGCGGGTGAGAGGTTGTTCCAGTCCGTAGCCTTGAAGGTGAAATTGCGCTCAACCTTATTTTTGCCTCGAAGGGTTTTCTGTCGAATAATCACGCCCGTCAAACAAAGGCAAGGGACAGCGGGCCACAGTAGCTAGTGAGACGAGGTTTCGGAATGTGGTCTACAAAGTAGCGTGTATATTGATGTTAAGACTACCCAGGCCAGCGCCACACTATAGCATGTGATGCCCCCTTCTCTGGGGCATCGGGAAGCTAATTCTGACTTCGGCAATAGGAGGGGATTTTCCAAAATTCCAGAAAGATCACCGATGGCGCACAGCCACCATCACCTAAGAAGCCCATTGATTTAATTAATATGCTGTTTCAGCGCCAGCCTGGATGTCTTCGAAGGCGAGATTATTGTCTTTCTAAATGACAATGCCAAAACGTCTCATATTGTGTGTGTACCAAGTTGTTTGCCAGTAGAAAGGCTCAACATATCGATATATCACCCCAAAAAAGGAGGGTATGCTAAAGAGATCATAATGCTATAGGGTCGAAATTCGAAGATGTGCAAAATAATAGGCCAAGTATCAAACCGAAAATATCATTTGCGCGCGCTGGACGTATATGCGATCAAAACTCCAATCTCACAATCATCATAGTATTGGAGGATGAAGAAGAAGGGAATAACCTAGGTGGTATAAGGATATAAATAATCATTGCGCTGGCACTAAAAGGGACAGTGCTATCAAGAAACTCCAAAAGAAAAGAGAACAAAGAAATAAGAGTGGTCTAATCAAAGATTCATCGTCACCGTCATACTATTACTATGAACCAGCAGACACGGAGGGAGTCCATTGCACAAGATATCAAGATCGCCCACATAAGATTCGCTAGCAGCCTTGTCACGCCAGGTTCCTTCTATCGGCGATGGTAAGGTCGTGAAAATAACTGCTGTCTTTTGACTGTGATTTTGTATCAGCTCGTTTAGTATCATATGTTGCGCGCGACATGGAAGGTCGTTAAACGAGAGCGGAACGACATTCTGGGCTGAGGGGCCGGAAGGCGGGGATCGGTCCGGTGGGGAATTTGAGGGAGATACTGGAGATTGTGCTTCAGGCTGTCTTGCGTATATTGAATGGCGTGGAGTTGATGGACCGGCTGATGAGCGGTCTCTGGGCGGGCTGGTGGCAAACATGATTGATGGGCCTGAATCTTCTTTATCGGCCACTCGGGTAGCGGGGATAGGTGAGGACGAAAACTTGTTGCTTGAGGCTGTTCGGGGTATGACAGGGCGACTTGGGGGAGGTGAACCTAGCGGACCCGGTTCGTTTGTGATGGTAATGGTTGGGCCATGATGAAGTGGTGGCGCGACTTCAGGTTCAGATGAACTCGACGGCTCGTCTTCAACAGCAGTCTCTGTAAGGGCTCTGGGCAAAACATGGCCCATCTGGTGGCGTCTGGATTTGTGTAGACCAGTCCGAATTCCTCTTCTTATTCCTGCATCCTCAGTATTTCCTTCGGAACGCTGTGCAGAACTTGATGCATCTTCCTCATCGCCGTCACTGTCACTCAAATATGTTTCGATATCGCTATCATGACTTGAAGACTCTGAACTACCATCTGAATGGTAGTCCACCATTGTATCCAGCAACCGTTGTGTTTGCGTACCAACGGAGAAACCCATCGCGCCAAAGCTACCAATGGACCTTCTCTTTTTTGAACTTTCAATCAACGTCCGCAAGTTGTCGAGTCGCGAACCAGTGTCTCCGTTACGTCCACGCTGGAACGAAGAGGTTGGCCATTGTGGTGTTGTTCCGGGATGCGACACCCGTTGTCCCACTTTGCCTCCTTTCTGTTGACCGGCCCATTCGGTCCGGAGTAGGCGGACATCCTGCCACCAACCTTCATCCTTCAATAAAAGATTCACGGATTCGACGGTCACTTGGTCAATCCCGGACTCATCGCCATTGACGATTATCTGGTATGACTTCAAATCACCGCTAGCAAGCCAAAAGACAAGGACCTCCGCTTCGATTCGAAGTTTCTCAAGCAATGTTGTCACTCTTCTGCGCTCCTCTTCAACATCGCTTTCGTATTCCACAAATACCGCCACACGAAGACGGTATGACTTTTTCCAGGAAGATACTGTGTTCAAAATGCATCCGAGCTGTAAAATTAGAGTATATGTATCGAAGTTGGTTGTCAGAATGTTTTGTTTACTCGCGCCGTCCGCCGTTATTTCCGCAGACATCTGGATAGGCCATAAATCAATGTATTTCTTTGTATTTTTGCCACTCGCGGGTAGCTCAAGTTGGTCAAAGCCCTTAGCCACAGCCACATTGATCCGTAATTTGAACAACAGGTCCTCCAGTACGGTTAAATAGCTCTGAACACTCATTTTATGGTCATCTCTGCAAGGTTCGGTTCTGCCATCCAAAGAATCGGGATCTTCATTGCCGTTTTGCGGGTCTATGGGTTTTAAGTTGGAACTGCATCTCGTTTGAGATGCAAAGGGCGTCTCTGAAACCCACTCAATCTTGCGAAATTCATCGATTACGACAATATTGGGCCTCATTCCTCCTAGACCTGAGTTCAGAACAATATTCCTAATGCCCCACTCCTTGCTAGGAGCAATCGATATGTTGATAAACGCCTTTACTTTAGAAAATTCGATAAATTTAGTCCACGAGGTTTGCTCTCGGCGGGCATCTGGGACCGCGCTGGCAAAGTCATCCGCGACTATAACGTGCCCGAGAACGAATAGGCCGCCTTTCTTTAACGAATTGCAGAAGTGAATCATTTTATACTGTGAGTCAAAGTCGTTGACGAAAAGGAGAATTTGCGGGCGCCAAAATTTGACGTGTTCGGGCCGAAGACGAAGCAGGTACTTGCGGACTTGGTGATAGATGAGGCTCTGGCTAACATCGCCCCAAGACTTTGGGGGACTTGTGTAATGGATTAGGAGAAATAACAGCATCAAGATACACACGCAGCCCGACGCGTAGACTCCATCGACGAAAAACATGGTCATACCGCTGATGACAGTTCCAAATAAGGCCGTCCAAGAATTGAAATAATGAAAAGAGGGGCGAAAGTTTGGAGCGGACCCAACTTTCAGTAAAAAGCAAGCAAGATTGGTCACTAAAAATGTCATGAGATAGGTCATTGTGATGAATGATGCGATCTGGTTGATGTCAAAAAGCATCGTAATTTGGGCGACCACGAATGTGAAGACGATAGCATTAGTGGGTTCATCATATTTCGCTGTGCCTTGGCCAAAGACGGTCAATCCTGGGATAAGGGTGTCTCGGGCTATGGCCTGAAGTAATTTTGCAGAGCCAATGACCCCCATTAAGGATGAAAAAAAAGAGGTTGCAAACTCTCCAAGAAGAATAAGGACACCGGAGACATTAGTCTAGACCTGTCAGTAGAATATTTGATAAGCTGTAATACAGGTTCAGGTTAACAACTTACGTCTTGGATGATATTGACATCATTATAGAGGGATTTTCTGGTTAAACTACATGCCATTGATAGAATCACAACGGCGTAGGTAAAAAGGGTCACTCCGAGCCCATATAGTGTGCCTTTTGGTATAGCTTTACTAGGATGTTTCAAATTGCCAGACATACTCGCACCCCTAAATGACCGCACAATAGGAATTAAAATTAGCCCGTAACCCTGGGGATCAGAAAAGCGTGTTAATAAAAGTATTCGTACGCGAATATACCCCCAGTTGCAGGGAATAGGATACCAAACAAATCCTGAAAGGTGACCCTGCCATGTATTTGACTCCCAGCGGCACCTTTTGTAAGCCTTGGGAAAAAATTATCCAGGAATGTTTTTGAGCTTAGCCCAGTAAATTCAATTCCCAGGGTTTCATTTTTGAATGGTTCCATCATGAGCGCAGAAAACGGAATGCTGAAGGTTGCCACAAGCAAAATAACAAGGAGACCATTGCTAGCGCGTGAGAATATAGAGCTCCCCGCGAGACAAATTCCCGTACAGAGAGTCATGACGATAGTGGCCCAGAGGTAGGTCCAGCCAAATCCTTCTAGCAAAAACTGAGACCATTTGCCGGATACGGATCCAAAGCTTTGAATCAGACAGTTGACCAAGCCGACTGCATTCATTCCAGTGTTGAGGACGAATCCGATATAAAACACAATTCCAATTGAGCCACCGAACTCCGGGCCGAGGGACCTAGATATAAGATAGTAGGCACCACCTCCACGGACGGTTCCGTTTGTTGCGATAGCTGAAATAGACATAGTTGTCAGGAGATTTATTAGGTACGAAGCGACAAGCATTCCTGTGTTTCTTTGGGTCAATATGTCATCCATACTAAATAATATCTAGTGGAAACCATACCCAATGTACCCAGAACTCCAGCTTGTCCCAGAATGAACCCAAACCGAAGAAACATAAGAATACTCAGCACATTCAAGGTGGTGGGAACAAAGACACCTGAAAAGGTGCCTAGCTTTTCGGAGTCATCTGATGTGCCAGATCTCTGTTCGGCCTTCTCCTTCCTATCAAGGAAATCAATATTTCGTGGATTTTGGTGAGCAACTGACGTCCGCCTCACCAAAACCACGCCTGGGGTTCTTTGCTGCTCCATGTCTGCTTCCCTGCCTCCATCATGAGACTTCCCGAGAAAACTGCTTGTAAACCTTCGAACACCGGTTGCCTGAGGAGAGGTTGATGTGAAGGGTGAGTATGGACGATCTGGAGCAGCAGATCGGGTTTCAGTGTGATCATCGATTTGTTGGCTTTCCATACCAAAACCAAAACCTGCACCATCGGCTGTTCGAGCAGCAAAGGTAGGTCTATTTCGTGGCCCTCCATTACCAATATTCCTGCTCTCCGCCATTTAAGACTTTGAACCCGTAGCTAGCTATCGAAACGTATGCTGCATAATTGAAGTTCGAATTGAGTTAACAAAGCTTATATCTCCACGCAGGAAATAGAGATCTCCCAAACTGGTGGAAACGCACGAAGTGAGAGGAGGAGGAGACTATGGAGCAGGTAAAATTCCGATTGGGAATAAGAAGGTGCAAAAGAAAATGAGCCAGTCGGGAGCTGATACAGATACAATCGAGAGGGTTGTCAGAGTTACAAAAATCTTAAGTCCAGAACGCGAGCTGTTCGATGCTAAATTAGGTAAGCAGTATGGGAAGGAGACTAGGCCGATCTGGGCAGAGAACTCGCTCCCTCGGTAAGTGTATTCCACATGCGATGGATGAAAATGCTAAAACATACTGAAATAGCACACATTGGTATTTATATTGAATGTTGCAAACAAAGTGTGTAGTTTGGGCGGGGCTTCGGGTTTGCGGGGAAAAAAATTCTTGAATCCCCGTCCTTGACTGTGCATCTTCCGTACATGCATTGTACAGTACATGTACGTGCGGAGGTGTGGAACAGGAGTCCGTCCATGTGCTAGAAATTTATATGATAATCATGCTACCGTAACTACGGAGTGCACAACTATCAGTTGGCAAGCCCTCAAAACAGTTGGTATGAGTTTAGAGGCTTGAGACCTAAAGCTTAGTTATCCAGTGAGGCATCAAGGCCCCTTAACTAGTGCTGTGAGGGCCGGCTTCGGTTGAGCTTCAGTCTTGAGCATGTGCAAGGACCAGGGTTACCAATGACGACATCAAGGCTTATTTATCGCCAAGCCGGAATCAGGATGACTAATCAACCAGCCGCCGTTGTCTCAACATCTAACAACGGCGATAGATAGACGGGCCAGATACAGTCACTCTTTGAGAACGGCGCTCAATACACCAATAAAATATGTCTCCCATACCCACAGCGTGAGAAAACAGACTGCACCCAACTTTATTGCCGCTCTCCGATGGCTACAGTATTGTTCATACCTCCCCAGTCCATATCAGAGCGAAAACAGCTTTCCCTCTCGAACCGTCGCGTATTTACGTGTTTTGTTGCATCCATCTCAATATCAGCCAAGTAAGCCTATATACATTGCTGGAGGAGATGTCGGACAACCCAGATAAATCCCCTTTACTATCTCATTCGCAACGCCCTGGTTCTCCAATCCCGTCCATTCGGTCTGGTTCCCCAGCCCCTGGCTCCCTTCCAAGGCATATTACAACAGCCCGCCTTGCTACACCCATCCCATCGTCATTTGATGGACAGAGCCAGAGCCAAAGCCAAAGCCCCCGGGCAATTCCTATTTCAAATGGGTTATCGTTGGAGCAAATCACCCTTCCCCCTAGGGCTCATGCGTTCTCACTCCATGGTCCGGGTCATTCCGCTTTAGCATCTGCTCTACAGCACGATTCCGTACAGGGAAAGCCCTCAGGGAACACCTCTCCCCCTTCAACAAAATCCGATTCGCCTCCTTTGCCCCCTGCGAAATCGACGTATGGGTCCTTCGATGCCAGATCCGGTAAAGACGGTGGATCAGACCAAGGTGCCGGGACGATGGAAAACCCAGATATAGTAAGGAAGCATTTGGTTCAGCCGCAGCATGACTCGGATAACCGTGCGTCAGGACAGAGTTCGGACTCTTCGAGGAATGCGGGACCGAATGAGGAGTTTTCTAGTCTTCAACTCCAGGGGGGGGATATTACAAGACCTATCTATCGTTGGGCTGAGGAACTAGCTGGAAAGGGCACCAATGGTTCTCGTCGCAGACGCAGTTTTGATATAGCTCGACCAGAGCCCGAGAGTGAGGTCCTGGACATCAATACGATCAAAGTTCCTGGAGGTTTCCGGAGAGATTTTCTCCGTCGTGTTGCTGGTCCCGGGGATTTACAAGATCTTCACGCCGCTGAACAAGGTGAACATCAAAACGGTAGACCAGTTCTACTTACGAACAATTTCCTAGAGTTCCTGACTCTATATGGCCACTTTGCAGGAGAGGAATTGGAAGAGGACGACGAGGCACTGGGACCGGATGAGTACTTTGCCCCTGACCTATGGAGTCATCGGGAGTCAATGAGAGATGAGGATAGAAGATTGCTGGCAGAAGAGGAACCTCTCCTCCGCCCAGAGACTCCTGGAAAACCCCGTAGACCCAAAGAACGCACTAAACAACCGAACACCACCTCAACAGGAGCAATGCTTCTCCTTCTGAAATCGTTCGTTGGGACGGGGGTTTTGTTCCTGCCAAGAGCTTTCATGAATGGAGGAATGCTTTTCAGCTCTGTGGTGCTCGTTTCCGTGTCCCTCCTTAGCTACTACTGCTTTATACTCCTTGTCAACACGCGACTAAAAATACATGGGTCATTCGGTGATATTGGTGGCGTGCTCTACGGCAAACACATGAGACGGATCATTCTAGGATCCATTGTCCTCAGCCAACTTGGTTTTGTGTCTGCATATATTGTCTTCGTTTCCCAAAACCTACAAGCGTTTGTTCTTGCTGTGAGCAAGTGCAAAACTTATATCGACATCAAGCTCATGATATTGATACAATTAGTTGTTTTCCTACCTCTCTCCTTAATCCGTGATATCAGTAAACTAGGGTTTACAGCTCTCATTGCGGATGTTTTCATCCTAATGGGCATTATCTACCTATACGTCTATGGCGTTGAGACAATCGTCGACAATGGCGGCGTTGCAGACATCAAACCATTCAATCCCGTGAGCTGGACTCTATTTATCGGCACCGCCATCTTCACATATGAAGGCGTCGGCCTCATCATACCCATCCAGGAATCCATGAAGAAGCCTCAAAAGTTCCCTGGCGTCCTGGCCTTCGTGATGTTTATGATAACCGCCGTATTTCTCTCGATGGGAGTGCTTGGCTACGCCGCTTTCGGCTCCAAGACTGAAACCGTCGTCTTACTTAACCTGCCGCAGGATAGTAAGGTGGTTAACGGGATCCAATTCCTGTATTCTTTGGCGATTCTTCTCAGCACACCGCTCCAACTTTTCCCCGCGATCCGAATCTTGGAAAACGAGCTGTTCACCCGCAGCGGGAAATATAACCCAGGCATCAAATGGAAGAAGAACGGGTTTCGGTCCCTCCTAGTCGTGTTTTGCGCTCTCGTTGCATGGGGTGGTGCAGCAGATTTAGATAAATTTGTTGCGCTCGTCGGGAGCTTCGCCTGCGTACCATTAGTTTACGTGTATCCTGTAAGCCCTCCTCTCCTCGCTCTGACTTCCTCTCCTGCGCGCTCCTCAGGGTCTTTTCCTCTTTTCCAATTCCCAACAAGCGCTCTTTTAAGCACCGCTAACGAACATATCAAAAATACAGCCAATGCTACATCTCAAAGCTGTTTCGACAACCGCGCGCCAGAGATATGCAGACATCGGCCTCGCAGTATTCGGCATGATCGGGTGTGTCTACACCACCGTCCTCACCGTTTCAAATTGGGCCGCGGGCGAATCTTCTGGAAACCCTCGTCATTGTTCCATATAAATGAAAATAGAGGAGAAGAGGGGGGAATCAAAGAGGAGCCTTACGACGAACAAAGTTTTTTTCTAGACAGCCATCCCGAGTTACCAATACCCACACGTCATAGTCCTTGTCATAGGTTTTTTTTTTTTTTTTTTTTTTTTTTTTTTTTTTTATCGTTTATTTATTTATTTCCTTATTTACCCATCAGGATATGCACACGCAAACGAACATGAGCTTTTCGACATACCCAAACCCTTGCCATTTACTGAATGAGATATCTAATTCAGCATCCTCATCAAAGGCTTCCTGTCATTCATACACGGCCCCTCCATTACGGCGGTGCTGTCCATGCATGTTTCCCCTTGCTCTCCAGCGGGGCGGAAAGTCTTGAGAATTTCCCGAAGAAAGCAGGCGCGGTTTCATAGATATCGTATCTCCATTTCTTTTTATTTATCTGCATATGTATGCAAATCCCGTACACTGATTTTACGGCTTTGTCAAGGAGTATTGTATTAAGAATCAAGCTCTGAATTTTGTTTTTTTTTTCTTTCTTTCTTTTTTTTCTGATTGTTTGTTTGTTAGAATCATCAAGCGAAGCGATTTTTTTTTTGGTGACGTATATATAGAATCCTCTTTTTTGACATACAAACTATATTGTGACGCAGGATGAAAGAATTTTACACATCAATCTATATACTTATCTATCTTATTCAGGTCATTTACCAAAATTCCCAGTAAAAATAATTCATATGTGGAGAAGTGTAGTTGAATGCCAGAGAGAAAAAAAAAGAAATGTTTCTAAATAACATTCTCTACATAATTTTCATGCTCAGATTTTAGATCAGAGAGCACAGAAACGTTAAATGAGACCCAACAAAAAAGAGGCAGTTGGTATCTAGAACAACCAGCAACAATAAATGAAGATCTGTCCCCAATATGACACTTACATACAGAGCATATAGAACAAAGTCACACATACACGGGGGCCCCAAATGTGTGCACAGGGATGGATAGATGCATAGAATAATACATAATTCACATCAAAAATCCCCAAAGCCCAAATTAGAAAGATAAAAAGTATTTTAAGGAAAAGAAACCAGTTCAGCAGATTAATATAATGTATTTTAGATGTAGAGAGCAAGGAAATCTCGTTACGATTTCTTCCCCGCAGCAACAGCAGCACCAGAGGCAGAGTCAGCTGCAGATTCTGTGCCCGATTTTGGAGCGTCGACTATCTTCCCCGCGGCAATCGCTGCATCGCGTCCGCCCCAGCTAGAATTAAATTAAGGAGAAGTAAAAGACGAGTCAGCATATTGGGTCCATAAGGTTGAAATATCGATTTGATATGAATAGGAAGCCAGCGTGTGTGAAAATGAAATTAAAAAAAAAAAAACAAAAACAAAGAATAGACACCTTCTCCTCCCCGGCACTCCCAGACTGGAAAGAGGCGTAGGAAGGGATACAAGTAGTAGAAAGGGGAGACAGGGTTATTACATACTTCCACCAATTCAGATACCGATATCCCTGCGTCAGCTGCGCGCCGAAGTTCACGAAATGGCATGCGAATAGCAGATAGTTCTTAGGGGTTACGGCGAGGGCGTAACGCATGAATGTGCCAGAGTATATCACTAGGGCACCTGTCATTTGGCCGGAGATACTGTAATTGCATTCATTACCATCATTAGTTGCTGAACGTTGTTCAATTCGGAGAATCAGGATCGGGATGGCTAGGTGAGGTGCAAATGATCGGTTCGGTGGAAAGACGATGTGGGAGGGGAGAGGTACGGCAACGAGCGGGCAAAGGCTGGCTTGGATCTCTTTTTCTGTGTTTTCGAGAAGGAAAAGGATGGGGATGCGATAACTACATTTCAGGATCTTTCTGTGTGTCCATCACAGCAGCGACAGGGATACCGAAGTTTGAGACCGGGCCCCAGAAATCTGTTTGTTGTTTCCGCATCCAATTGATGTTGGTTAGCAGAATATTTCAGTGAAGATAGTTCAGACGGGCTACTGCCTTTGAATGTCCATTATCCCCGGGTATAGAGGCACAGAGATATCTATGTAGATACGACAGAAATTCAAGGGATGACGTCTGTGTAAATTGCGTGCTTGCTCCCGGGAACCTCTTTGAAATTTTCAACTTACGTGTTGAGCATATATAATCCAGCACCTTGTTCGAGCGTATCTTCGCATTGACAGCTTTGATTGCGGCAGCCATCTTTGTCGGACAGCTAGGATGTGGATTCAGGGCGGAAGAGGAGTAGAAAGAGGTGGGTCCGGAGAGCGTTCAAAACCAAAGGTATTTCAACAAATAGCTATCCGTTATGTATACAAGCCTCTGAGCTGGTTTTTATATCCTAATATCATGAATGACTCCGTCTGGATCCAATCAATCGAGCTTCAATCTTTCCTGTTTTGGTTCCGAAATCCGGAGAGCAGAAAACGCTAGCCGTGTTTGGATAATATAGTCACGTGATTATAACTCAGCGAGGAATTTTTGACCACAAGCACATAGTGGAAAGGAGAGGTACTGAAGAGGAGAGAACGATAGTAAAAACCGTGTGCAAAATCATATTCCTTTTTTAATTTTTTTTCTAATTTGCTAGCTAATATAATGAATCTTTTCGGGTGTATGGGTGACAAAAATGTAAGAAACCTGCTGGAAAACAGCTCTGGCTTTGGGATAAGCCCAGACAGCTTCATCCTGTCAACTTTCCTCCCCCAGCGCCCCAACGCCATGGTACAACAAGTCAGATTTTTATATTATTTTCTGTTTTGAGCAACAACAAAAGGTGTTTTGTCACATGTAGCCTTTTACGCACTGGTGATAATTTATCGGTATAAATTGTGGATAATTGGATATCCAGTAACAAAAAAAAAAAGAGTTCTTGCCTCCACACCTTCTCATCCGGAGTCATTGTTATGTGTGTGTGGCTCCATCAGCATGTAACGTATAACTCAATTGGCCCATTTAATCTCATCGTCCGCCAAATCCAGGGGGCGGGAAGCCTCTGCCCTGGCCAGGAGGGGGTTGGAAACCAGGTGGCTGTGGGAACCCGGCTGCTCACAGGTATTCAGTCAGTAAGTGAATAACAACATAGTCATGAAATAGGAATAGAAACAAGAGGAACAAAATACGGGTAAAGGAAGCACTTACGAGGTCCACCAGGTCCACCGGTTGCACCGGGTGCGAATCCAGGAGGTGGTGGTGCAAAGCCAGCTGCAGGAAATTGGCACAAATTAGCTTTTGAAATCCGAAGAGCTAAAAATCATAATGGAACCAAAAGTGAAAATAACCCACCAGGTCCTCCAGGTGGTCCTCCTCGTCCCGGGAATCCTGGGGGCATGGCCCCAGGGAATCCTGGAGGGGGAAACGCTCCAAATCCTCCGGGAGGCGGCGGTCCACCAACACCAGCTGCTGGGCCCCCAAGGCCAACAGGCAAACCCCTTCCAGCCGGCCTGCTGATACCAGGCCCTGCGGCCAAGGTAGCTGCAGAAGCTCCTGATGCGCCAGGCACAGTTGTACCTAACCGCGCCGCGGGGTCTGCAGGCGGCGGTCCATCAACGGAACACGAGACGACTTGTGTCCCGCGCAAGATTGTGAGGCCAAGCGTTCGTTTCTCTTCGGCTTCGACGAGGGTTGGTGTGCTGGATCCGGGGGCTTGAGTTGATTTGGTCGATTTTTTCTTGACACGCCGGAATTCCTCCGTATCCGCTAGAACGAGATTCATGTGCTGCGCGACGTATATTGGACGTTAGCAGCCGGCAATTTGCCATTCGCCTCTTACGTGGATGAAGAAAGAAAGATATTTACCTTATCAAAGGCGAGCATTTGACCTGTCATTTGTCGTCCATCGGTCAAGGTCACTCTCATCCGGTAGTTGATCTGGTTGCCAGGCACTGTTAGCGGAATCTCAGCCCCAAGAAACAGACACAGACGCGGCTGGATAGACGTACGAGGTTTTGCTAGGACAATGTTAGCAGGTGTTTCTCTATCAATCAACGAAGCTTGGTCCATTTGCGATCTTCCAGAGGATTGGCATACCATTTTGCCCTGTTTATTTGCAGCCATTTTGTCGCAGGTCGCGCGCACGAGTGCGACTTCTCCAGGCCAGCTCGGGACGGGACAGAATAAAGTAAAATCAAGATATAGAATCCTCCAATCCACAGCTAGCTCTCCGTAAACCTCTGCAATAGGAACCCGATGGACTCAGAATAACAAGTTGGCGATGGAGCTTGACGTTGGCGCATGTCTCGTCTCGTACAATTAAATCCCACGCCCGCCTTGGCGGCCAGTCGGGCTCGCTAGTCAATGCCAAGCCGCCAAGCCACTAAGGGTTTTGCGCTCTTCTCCCACACAAGTCACAACATCGAGACATTCTCATTACACCCTCAGGATATTCCTCGTAGCCTTTCATCTACTAACAGCCGACCGTCCAGCCGTACACGAATCGCCATGGTGAGCATCACTGAAATACCCCATTATATGCAATTCTATGTCAGATTTCAGCGACAGCTTTTCGATGTTTTTTGGCTAATTGAATGCGGATACAGGCCGAGGGAAAATCCAGCAACCCCATGCGGGAGCTCCGCATTCAAAAACTCGTCCTCAACATCTCCGTTGGCGAATCCGGTGACAGACTTACTCGTGCTGCGAAGGTGTTGGAACAGCTGAGCGGTCAAACTCCTGTCTACAGTAAGCGAAAAGAAAAGAAAATGAAACAAAAACCATCGAGATCCTAGTGATAGCCATGCGGTGCGGCTGAGAGAGAGGTGTAAGGATAGCAATCTGATGGGATGAACTATATAGGCAAGGCCAGATACACTGTCCGTACCTTCGGTATCCGTCGTAACGAGAAGATTTCCGTACACGTCACTGTCCGTGGACCCAAGGCCGAGGAGATCCTGGAGCGCGGCCTCAAGGTCAAGGAATACGAATTGAAAAAGCAGAACTTCTCCGAAACTGGCAACTTCGGCTTCGGTATCAGCGAACACATCGATCTGGGCATCAAGTATGACCCCGGTATTGGCATCTACGGAATGGACTTTTACTGCTGCATGTGCGTTTTCCCTCGTTTTCTATTTTCATTTTCTTTTCCCAGAACTCTCCCAAATTGAGGCGAGGGGGATTCGATTTGCCATAGCGTTATCCGCCCTTTGATCGGACATGATTGGAGAAATTTTGAAAATTGAGGAAGGGTATTATATTAACCACAATGTACTACGATTATTTTAATAGGACCCGACCTGGTGAACGCGTCGCTAAGCGCAGACGATGCAAGTCCAAGATCGGCGCCAGCCACAGAATCAACCAGACCGAGACGATCAAATGGTTCAAGACTCGCTTCGAGGGAATTGTTCGATAGATGCTTGTTGGTTTTCTTTATTCCGTCTCCGGGTTTGCGTCACTGTTTAGATGTGGAAAAGAGTCAAAAGGGAGCCGGGGGGTAAATATTTCATCTTTCTCTTTCTCTTTTTATCAATCTAGCGTCAGGTTTGGGCATATTCACGTCTTATTATTTTTTTTTTCCTTCCCTATTTTGTTTTGTTTTTAATGATGTAACTGAAAAAGAAAAGATGACGCCAAAAGAGGAAGCGATTGGGAAATCTGCGACCCAACAACGTCCGGACACCGGTGCCTAACACGGGCCTTTCTATCTGGTGGGTGACCCATCAGCGAAAGTGGACGCGGGTTGCAGATTTTCATGTTCTCTCTCCGCCTTTCGGTTCTCTCCCCCTTCCCTCTTTTCTACTATACAATTCAATGACACAGATGTTTTATCCCTGACCCAATAGAGGCAGGGAGAAGAAAATGATCGCTCCTTTTTTCTTTCCCTGTTTTCCAAAGATTTCACAATGGAGGCTTCACAAAGGGTGTCGTTCCGCTTAACCATTGCTTTGAAACAAAAAGAAGAAGAAAAAAAAAAACAAAGGGGCGATTCTTTTCCTCTCCTTTTATTTTCTGAGGCGCGTCGAGTCGACCCTCAGGCGGCCTGAGATTTGAAACATTGGTCATTTGGGTTTCTATCCTCTTGTTTGCCCCCCTGGCTGCTGCCATAAACTATATACATAGGTATATAAGGGGCGAGAGGATAAGAGTCCGTGTTCCATGTTTCTCTTTCCTCCTCACCAACACCTCCAACACTGCGGACTATCATTCTCGTCTCGCTTCTCGCTTCTCACGCCTTACATGGTTGGAGATGTTTATCTTGGCTACAAAGACAACTTTTTGCTGGATTGATGTACTCTACTCCAGAGGACAGAGAGCCGGGAACGAGACGAAGCAATGTGAGCGCTGGAGGGAAGTTGGGACACGCAGACACCCGATCACCTGGTACTTCGTAAGATAGCTATCAGGGCCGCTATGTGAGTGAGTGAGTGAGTGTGCTTGTGTGTTCCCATCGGACTGAAGCGACGCAGCCCACGGCCTTCATACATTGGAAGGTAGAATGGCTCACTTCTGACTCAAAGAGGACGGTTTGCGTATACATATACCCCCCCTCCCAATAAAGTACCCAGGTAGGTTATTTCTGCAATAGGCTTCGGAAACAATGCAGCTGGTGAAAAAGGGGATGCGCTTAAGTAAAATTGAACAGAGCTGTGCAGGTAAGTTGGTGCAGAGTGGTAATGATGCTGCTATGTAAGAAATCTTCATGGTGGGAGGATTACTTGATCTTCCTGTAACTTTCTAGTGACTTATGGGCCTGGATTGAACGTTCAGCGGCGAATAGTGAGGTGAGAGGAGACATTAACTTTGATGCTCAGTATTCATTCCTTTCATAAGGGAAAAGGAAAGGAAAGGAAAGGAAACCCATTTGCCCACAGTTCATCTACCTATGAACGGAGATAAAAATTTGATCCCTTAAATTGACTAAATTGAGGATAATATACAGACGTTGCCAATCCCAAACATATCCCAAGGAGAAAACACGGGAGAAAAAAGTCGCACGTTTCCCTGCCACATCAAAATATATCTGAGAGTTCTTGGATCAATCTGGCTTCGTTCAACTGCTCTGTTTGACGGCTCAGTTTCCCACTAAAACCAAACTTCATTCCTATCCATGTCCCTCCCTTCTCTCATTCTTCACCCCGAACAATCTTGAATGTTATATTTTTGAAGGTTGCTTGCTTTGATGAAAATTAATTCACCGCGTCCACAGAACGACAACACAACACACAACACGCTGGTTTTGCCTATTTCTGGCACTGTTTGCATTTTCCAAAGGAATGACTCTGGAAGATTGGAGGGGGGACAAAAAATAAAATAAAATAAAATAAATCAAGGAACAAAATAGCGGAAATAGACCAAGATAACAAGCAGGAAAAAAAGTTGTCCATTATTCACCCTCTCAAACCCTCCCCCACAAGGGAACAATTTTGTCCTTTTTGTTTATTTATCTCTTGACTCTCACCTGCATCATTATCCTCCACTTCCTTCCCCAGGAATGTTGTTATTAATTTCCTGTTTCATTTTCGTTTTGTCGCACATCCGATTCATGAATCTACGACGCACACCAAAGGCAAATCCAAACATATCACTTTTCATTTGGCTTGATACCTCTCACATAACTACAAAAATCAAATGTCAGCAAAACTGCGGACCCCCTTATGATATGGACCTCCAACTCGTTCAAGACAAAGGAACATAGACAATGGAGGGGAAAGAACACATATAGAGAATGGGAAAGAAGAAGAAGAAGGAAGAGATGACAAGCAAGACTTACTTATCCCACCAACTCGAGAAGAACCGCCTCTTCTCCGGCCCCGCGCCAACATTCTGCTCATGCCACTGCGCCCTGCGTAACGCAAAGCTGGTGTCTGCCGTATTCCGCTTCTGGGACGCGAGGTTGGAGAAGAGATTTGTCCCGCTGACAGAGTTGCGTCTGCGGAATGCATTGGGGCGTAGTGAACCTTCGTCTTCGGTTTTGGAGCCCGAGCCCGAGACCGAAGTGTGAGGCGGTTGCTGAGCCATATATGGCGGTCGCAGGGGTGGAGATGTTTGATGTGTGAGTGGGCTGCTGCCAAAGGACGGAAAGGGGAAGGGAGGTCCGAGCCCGGAGGGCTGCACGGGAGAGGCTTCAGGACTCGGAGGTGGAGAAATGGTTCCCCCCGTGCTCTCATGAGAGCTGGAGAGGGTGGATGTTGTGGAGGCCTGGGTGTTTTGGAGTGTTGATGAACGTTAGTTGCGTGGTGATTTTCGTTTTGGAACGTTTGTCTTTTCTCCATCCCCGATCGGATGGCAAATATTCGATGGCTGGAGAAGGAACTGTGCAAAACGTACCCGTCTCAGAGTTTCACTGGGGGATGTGGATATGCTTGGTCTTGTGGGAATGTAGTAATAAGGAGGTCCACCACGAACCCAGACGGGAGGATGATCAGGACGGTCACTTGGACGATCGCTGGGGCGGCTGCTCATCTCGCTGGCAGTGTCTCTTGTTGGTCAATTTTCTAGGGAGGCCGTTCCGTTAACGCTGCTTAATGTGGTAGATATAACTATTCCACAATGGGTGTGTTGGGTTTGGCGATGGAGCGTCTGGAGCTCTGATAGCTCGATGGACAGGGAAACGGGGGGATTAACTTTACCTCTTCACATCCGATGGGAGAAAACGGCGTAGGTCAATGATATCTTCGAAGCACAATGGTAGGATTCCTGGCAACAAGGGCATGGATGGAATGTTGTGTGCCAGTTGCGGGGATAGCGGCTTATATTTGCCGGGGAGGCGAAGGCGAGAGGGGAAGCTACCTGGAGATTCCCCTTAAGTAGCGAGGTGTACAGGTACGGGATTTTCACCAGGAAATGCGCAGGAGAAGTGAGTAGTAGGTACCTGTAATTACATTGCTCGCGAGGAGGAAGGAGACCTATGCTAGAAGTCTCCAACCTTGCTTAGAGCAGGTAACTTATACCTCATATTTGTCCCGGAGATTACATGTCATTCCATATCTCAGCTAACGGGTCTACTTGATATCAGACAGCAACATCTGCCCGCCGTCAAACTGATAGATGTCGTTGGTGTTCTGGTGCAAGAGCGTCGTCTTGATGGTTGACGTCATATTTGCATTTTCTCAACTCCAACGAACCATGGGCCCGTAGCAACAACTTGCACCTACATACTTCCATGCCGACAGATATACCACAAATCTTGAAAAGCCATCCTTCTGTCGCTTTCGCAAAGCATAACACTAGCCATGTGTTCACCGACTAGCCCCCCGTCTACCTTCTGCGCTTTTCTCATTCACCTCCCCCAACACGTCAATCCCTCCCGAAGCTCTGATCAACTTATACCCATCTACGGGCATATCTGTTCAAAAAGGTCATCAAACTGATCGTTAAGGCAACTTTCAAGCTGTCTAATACAAGTTCAGCTCCATTATCAGCTTCATTGGCTTTTAGAAGAAAAGCTTAAGCTTCCCACTTCTGCTTCTGATACGGTCCCCGTTCGCATCTCTATAGTTTTCCAGGACAGATAACTACTAGTAGTCTACGGCTAGTCAAGTCCATTTGCATCTGCGTCTATATAAAATCGTGCTAGGTTGTTCTGTCAAGCTTGAGAGGTTCACATCTTTTCGGAGCGCTGCTGCGAAGGCCCCGAAACTGCCACCCCCAAGTCACGTACAGTTTCGCCAAATATTCACCCTAGGACAGCTTACTTTGCGCCTCCCTACACTACTATATAGGGTATTTTACTATATCCTGGCGAAGCATGTGAGTCGTTTTTGGCAAACGCCACTAAGTTTGCATTCTGCAACTTATCCTCGCCATCCATCGTGCTAATCTTGAGTACAGAATGGATCTGCAGTCGCTGTCCCCAAGACTCCGTCACTTTCTCGTAAACAGACTTGACAATCCTCGCTCTGTAGGCTCAGAGCCATTTGTCCAGGAAGACGAACTTTGCGAGCTATTAGGTGTCTTCCCTCAATATGACAGTTTTACCTGCTTTGGCAGGACCTCTTCTTCCGGCTTCCGATGCAGAAACAGAATCAGTCGAGAACAGCGGCACATCGCAAAAGTCCTTCTCACGAATGCCAACCAAACCTTCCAGCACCGAGACACCAACCTCAGAGAACTGATGCAGGACTTTGAGCAAATCGCAAGCAATGTGCTCTGCCATGCTTATCATCAGAGTCAGATCAGCCGCCTTGCGACGAGCTGGATGCTGAAGACAATGCAATATCAAGTCTTGGAATTTGATATTCGCCAGCTACGGATGGAAGCCACTCTGGGGTCACTGGTGGAAGCGTTTAATGATATTGGCGAGCGTTTAAGGGCCGACGGGTGCCTTTCCGCCGAAGCGTATGAAGCCGGGAGAATCCGTCCAGGCGATCTTAATCCAGGAGCCATTAGTGGCGTTGCTGAGCAGGAAACCGTTGGGTATGCGCATGTAGACGGGGATGGAGATGAAATTGAGGATCGCGAGCTCGAACCTGAGTCTGAGCCTCCGCCTATTGCTGCTGCCGTACCTCTTGTCGCAACGCAGCAGCCACAACCACAGGAAGCACGAATCCAACCGGTTACCCATGCCGCTTACCGTGCAACTGCCGTTCTCAACTTGGTACGCAGAGCAGCAAGAGACGGGTTTGCATCAAATAGAATTCGTCACGAGAGACCACGCATGCCAATCAAGGATGACTGCCAAATCTGCCAAGAACCCCTCGTCAATGAGAGGGTAGAAGCATCATTGCCTTCCTCGTCCCATTCTGCATCGTCTCATTCTCAAGCATTACACGAATCTTCTGAGCTCACCTACTGCTCACGCGGCTGTGGGAGGAACTTCCATCTGGATTGCATGAACACGTGGATTTATTCCTGTATTAACACTAGACTGCCGCTTACCTGTCCGAATTGGTATGAACCTTGTCCCCCCCTTTTTTTCCCTTTCCCCAGTTCCCCTTTCCAAATTAATCCCTCTCTTTCCTTCACGCCACATTAGAACTTTTGAAACAAAAATTGTTCTAACGAAAGTGCTTTTGTAATGAACAGTCGTTGCAATTTGTCCGAAGATTCTTAATCCGCGAATCACTCAGAATTTTGGACTCCAGGCTCCCTGGGCATGAACTGTCAGATATAATCGGGCAATTTCCACGACCTTTCCAGTTGAGAAATTCGTTGAATTTTACTCTTTTTTCGTTTGTGTGTGTGGCTGTGCGGGTGTGCGGCGTGTTCACTTGCAATATTTATCCTCGATTCATTGCTCGACTTTTGTGTATCACTGCAATATCTTTTCATTGCTCCGCGTTTCTGCATTAGTCCAGGAGTGTATGATAAAGAAGATAGAAAGGAAGAAAGAAAAATACAAAACAGAAGAAAAAACTCACCGCAGTGAAAAAGGAGCATAAGGGGCTTTTCAGCCCTGGGTCCTAGTACACACACTCCTTATATATCTGCTGTATGCATGCACGTCCGCTCTAATTGGAACTTTGAATGAATCAACACTTACATATACAAAAGACAGAGAAACACCCTTTTGAGTTTTTTACATTTCAAGAACGAAAGAATTTCTTGACTTTGCCTCTCATCATCACTTAATCATTAAATTCCCCGTTTCCTTCAGAAGAAATTGCTGAGTGAGGTAGAATCGATATAACCTCCTCAGCTTTAATGAGGCTGCTCAACAGACGGAACATTTAGTTAACTCATCCCATGTGTGCAGTGTTTTTCAAGATGAAGGACGAAAAGAAAGAGATGTTCTTCTGTCCTTTGGGCCTATATCCAAAGAATAATCTAGCGAACACTTCGTACCTCTGTCAAAGCTGCTACAATCGCGGCAGACAAATTTCCACAGGCCCTCCTTTCGATTGTGGGATTCTGCTCGGCCTCTTTCCATCCTGTCGACCGGGAAATGTACCTGCGTATCTACTGTGCGGAAGACTACGTACGAAACGTACGTGTCCGCTCTCAAGCTTAAATACAAAGAAATATTCCTTTCGCGGACTAGAGATGTGCTCGGATACACGACGCACGCTGGCCCCTTTACAGCGAGAGCACAAGCGAGCCGCCGATAGGAAGGCCCACAGGCAGTCGTGGAGAACACGGAAAGCTACACTGCTCTTTAGGAGCGGTTGCTGGATGAAGCAGCTACATCGGGCCCAACCGCACATACAGATTCAAAGGTCTGGTCGCCGGAGACTTCAAGGTTCTTGCAACGTCCCAAGAGAACAACTTCAACGAGATCGAGCGGCTGAAGAAGAGCCTGATGGCCATTTGTGAGACTGCGCAGGAAAACTCTAGAAGATTCCAGTGCTAGTACCTGTACTAGAAGCAGGAGTAGCGAAGACTTGAAAAGAGGCCGTTGCCGGCATTGCAGCATCTACATCAAACGTACGGCCAGATGACAGATCGATCGAGCCCCATATACAGGGTGAAGAATGACACTGTCAGTAGCCTACGTGGAGAAAGAAATGGAAATTGAGAATCCCCGGTTGAATCCGCTCCCAAGGAAATCTTCGACGATTTTCCCATATCTTACTCCGTTTCCTGAATTATCTGGTGGCCCTATTACTACTAACCGGGAGGTAATAGATTTTTTTTCTTTTTTTTTTTTAACTGGTCTAAAAAGAATGCGGTTGATGGTGGACGGGAGATCTATACAACGACAGGAATACGCTCCCCAACGGAAGTTATCCGGCGCATTGAGGATACACGATGCTGGACCATGCATATATGTTTTTTACATTGTACCCGGAGATACGGAGTGGGATTCCAGTGTGGAACAGCAACTCACCGTTTAGAAACCTATTTGGCGGTGCCGATTTTTGCGCTCTCTCTCGCTCATGACTTCAGCGTCTGCGATGGTGCCTGCCCTTGATTGATCTGAGGACGCCACCACGTTACAGAGTGGTTCTTACACGGCAGCATCGCAATTCAATACCGGTTCAACTCCCAAGTTTCTTAATGCGATTTTAAATTCCCGATACAAACGGTCCATACTCAGCCAGGAATCAGGGATGGACTACTCCAATGTGAATGCGCGATATGATATAGCACCGGACATGGTGGGCTTTTTGTTATGTTGACATTCGTGGGATTTGTGATTGACAAAAGACAATTTGGTCTTAACACGGATATTATGTTATTCATGCACCTATCCCTTCTAACATTTTCTCACTAGCTCACATTCGCATACCTCACTATCAGTATCCAATCAGACCCACATCCGACCTGCTTAAAATCCTCGAACATACCATTCACATAGATGCGACGGCAGCGTATATTGCCTTAGCATAGGCATCGCTACAGTTCGAGCCTATGACACCGGCAGCCATTTTATTCATAACATACGTAATGGTCATACGACGCTCAAGGTCCATGATCGCGATAGATCCACCCCAGCCCCCCCAAAAGCAGATACGTTCGGTATTCTCGGGTAAAAAGAAGGGCATCCGCTTCAACGGTAGAGCGTATCCTATTCCCCAGCGTAATGGAATGCCAAGCACAAGGTCGGGGCCACTGGCCTGTTCCTGAAAGATTAGATCGATCGTTTTTTGCGACAAAAGCTGAACACCATTAACTTCCCCACCAAGAGTTATAGCGGAGAGAACCCCATTGACTCCCCGTGAGTTCGAGTGGCCGTTGAGGGCACCGATTGCCGCTTTTCTCCACATCGGCGTGTTTGCTGTTTCGGGTTTGGCAGGTTGGCCAGTGAATGTCTTGAAGGCAGGGCTGTCGGCAGGCAACTTGAAGAAGTCAAAATCGAGAGGGGGCGGAGGCACGATTTCAGCGACTCGTTCCCAGTCGCATTCCGCTGCACCTAATTGGAAATCGGCTCCCAGCGGCCCCGCGATTTCTTCAGCGATGAACTGCTTGAGCGATTTCCCGCTGACCCGGCGCACCAATTCGCCAACCAAATGACCCTGGTTCTGCATGTGATAGCCAGACGCGGTTCCCGGCTTCCACCACGGCTTCTGGGCTGCCAATCTCTCGGTAGAAACTTTCAGATCGTACAATTCCTCCAGGTTGATATTTGGTTCCCAGCCAGACACACCGGAGGTGTGCGCGAGCAGTTGCCGGACTTCGATGTCCTGTTTCCCATTCGCGGCAAACTCGGGCCAGTAGGTGGCTACTTTTTCAAAAAGGTCGAGCTGGCCGCGGTCAACAAGCATCAGGGCCGCAAGGTTCGTGACAGTCTTCGTTGTCGACCAGACAGTTGTGACAGTGTCGCGGGTCCAGGGAGATGTACGGGCGGTGTCGCGATAGCCGCCCCATATATCTACGACGTTGCGCCCGTCGATGTTGACTGTGATGGATGCACCCAGCTCTTCGCCTGCGTCTATGAATTTCTGCAACAGATCCTTGACGGGCGCGAAGGCTGCGTCGTAATCACCTTGGACTGTGCCAGCCATTGTTTCAGTTGATATGAGATGATATGCGGATTTGGACGGAGGGCAATGGCTCAAAATTCAGAGATAAAATGAAGAAACCGCGAGTAGGTGTTAGGTCATAGTAGAGAGGAGATCGTTTTGTCTTCTAATCGGAATTGTGCTGTGCTCTAATATTTATTTTTTCCCATGGAGCAGGAGCTGCAACCTGCTCATTATTTATATTCACGGCCCCGCAACACAACGTGACTCCAGCAACCACGAGCTGAACACCAGCGCAGTCCATTTCCGCAATTAGATGGCCCAACCCTAGAGATTATAAATCTGGAGAAACCGCCCTGCAGCAGGGCCCTCGCTAGTATTGGGTTTTCTCATCAATTTTCAGGAATGTCGGCCCTCGAATGACGCATGTCGCACCAAGATGACCTCAACATCCAAATTGGTTTCATCTGCGGAAGCTGCAAGAGAAGCCTCCTGAGCTTAGCTATGCACCGTCAACGCCAACAAGCTCTTTTAAACTTCATAGATTAAGATAAGGCCCTAACCTGGATAAGGCCCGAACGCCGTCGGGTGTAGGACCATAGCTGACAAATAATCAGCAAGCATACTTACGGCCGGGACACGGAACAACTATTGGGAACGAGCTCCATGCCTTTCTCTGTCTGTCGTGGACTATGCGCCGATGCACAGTAATACACAATTTCCAAATCAACACTTCATGAATGCATCCGCAAGAGCCAAAACTGCAACTTGTTTGAACCATTTGACCTCTCAGTGCGTGGGCCTGCTAGGACGTAACTAGCTCAGGCCAAACTGCAACCACCATGAATTTCGATGCCCCTCACCATACTCTCATCTTTTACATTCATTATCAGCCCTCACAATGCCTTCTATATATATCCAAATAGAGAATTGAATTACAGAGACTACATCTATATTTATCGTCCGTGAAAATGTTGAAATTGCAGAAATTGGATGAGGATTTTCTGTTTCTTATCAGTATCTCTATATTTGTATCAGTTATATGTGAAAGAGAATCTTGAATTATATGATCTTCTGTTCATCAATTATTAACTTCTCAGGTTATTGATTGGTAAAGTTTATCTTATCACTAGGTAAACTAGAAATATCTTTCAATCATATAAGATAGTGAGTACTGTCCTCAAGAAATCTAAGATAAAAAAAGCAAAAAAGGGAATCGAAGTATAAAAACAGCAATGCAATACATCTTATAAGATGATTTATATAAGAAGAAAAGAGAAGTGATTAAGAGCAGTGAGATATAAAGAATGATAAAAGATTAAGAACAATATAAATAATTAAAAGAGAATGAATGGGATTAGAGAATTAAAAAGACCTTGCTAAGATCAAGATATTTACATCAGAGTTACACTAAAAATACTAGAAGAAGAACTAAATAATATATTCTATATTAACTGCATTGTTGAGATAAAATATTTTACATAGGGGGCAGGATACATTATCATTGAGCGGGTTATTATTGCTGAGACGGCGGGGCCTATTAGCAAGTAATACACGGAGTCAGTGTGACGAGTAACGCGGCGAGCAGAGGGCGCGGATAATCCAATTTTTACCATCGTCCTGGCTGTTCGACTCCACATGTCGATTTGGCTGCGTCAGTACTGCGACGCATACCTGAGGTCGCAATGCCCCTTTCCCACAGTTTTAGATTTTGACTTGGTTATGATTTGAACTCCCAACAGCTGGTACAACTTATGGCCTGTGTCCAGCTAGATATTGCTCAAAATATATGCAACATGTATTCTTTTTGACAAGAGCAATGACAGCAGGGCGAAAGTTTAAGAAGACAGCCTCAGAGGCAGGTCTGCAAAGAAAACACGCCCGCCGGGTGGATTTTTTGCCGTGGATTGTTTGTCACTTCACAACAATTGCAGATTGAGCAACTGCGACATGAGCACCAACAATGCTATCAAACCAACCATTCAAAGGTTAAAAACTTATTGAAAGCAGCCCATCTTCATAGGGCCGTCCTGTGCGGTGACCTTCCCCAAGTCAGAGCGAACGTTATCAATACACTCGCCTGGCGCAGCACCAGCAAAGGGTGCAGCCAAACAACATAGTGAATGGCAAGAATCCTGGGTGAAGA